TTGAATCTAAACTTATTTTTTACAGGGTACTTAGTTGGTCCGATTCCTTGGGATCCTGCTAGTGTCATAATCAGTTGTCGGCGTAGGCATAATTTCTATGCCTGTTGTTATATTGCAGATTAGATCCACTAAAATGATCCATAAATTCAGAAATCCGGCAAGATTCCAAGATATTTGGAATAATTTAAGCAGTAGAGGAATAGTTGCATTTCAGCGGCATACATAACGACCCATAACCCAAAAGTATTTGGGCTAAACTTTGATTGAGGTGATGTATTTTAGTATTTCCAGCATATTTATAAAACACATATTAATCTTTCTTTTATTTATCATTACATTTTTAAACAAAAATTATTTAACTTTTTTGGGTTCGTTTAATTACTCGTTTAATTAATTTATTTTGACCCTACTAAATAAATAAAAAATTAATTTTTATAATCCATATGATCTTGAAATTCTTTTAGTTCCCTTGGCCTTGATTCTGGCTCGTCATTGTGTAAAAATAATATGCTCACTATTTTCTATTTTTTAAGAGAATAAGAAAATATATAATCACATACGTTTTTCCAAAAACTAGAACATAATACAAAAAGCTGCTTAGTTCTTCTGCTTCGCTGAAACATATGGTGGGACTAAATATAATAACAATATAGAAAAAGCCGCTATCAACAGTTTAAAGATTCCATAATGGAAGCTTATATCTTTAAGAAAGAACTCGACGAAACACGATCAGATACTGCCATTTCCTTTTGCAATTGTTTCAGTCTTTTTCGTGCTTTCCCACATACAATCCCATAGTGGATCCAATAATAACGGGATTGGGAAAATAAGATCAAACAGTTGAGTTACTGAACGCATCACAAGAGGAACGTGTTAAAGAGGGTATTATCAGATTTCTGCTTGTCAACAAAACAGGGTCAGAACAAAAAATTTCCATAATGAAAAGCTATTACATCTTTTTGAAAGATCACACAATACTATCCTTTAATAAATTGTTCAGTCGTAGCAAATTCTTTGATTGCTGCCATTTCCTTTCCAACACGATCCAAATGATACCTTTTATTGCATCCGATCAGTCCAGGCTCCACTACCAAAATAAAACGTGTACTTGTCCCAACTTTAAAAATCAATAAATGCCTTAAGACAAAGAGGAGAATAAACCATCTGCTCAAGTGTAAAGCATTTCAGCAAAATTTATAGCGTGGCCAACATCAAATTTAAGGTTTCTACCGGTGGGCCTTGAAATTCCACTAATTTCAACTTCTTTCAACTCAGTAAGACGGCATTCATGGATTTTCTTTCATTGTTCTTTCTTCAATATTAAGAAGTATGTATTAAGTACACGCTTGGCTTTATCTTGTATCAAGTAAACCATATGATAGCTACTAGTATGAAAGGAAATGCAGCTTATATATCATATTAGCAGTTTTCCGACTTTCAACTAATCAATATATTATTTGCATTAAATCTATAATTCATCTAATATAATTACAATTATCTTAGTTTACATGTTATATTGATCTATAAAAGTGGGGAATAGGACTGGAGTAATGAATTGGGTATTGTCTTGTAAAAATTTAAGATAATCCTATATATAACCTTAATTTTAATTCGATTAAAAGAATTTTAATCTAAAAATATATAAATAGAAATAAAAAATTCTAATAATTTGATTGGCTGATTTTTTGTTTTAAGAATTTTTTTAAATGATAAAATAATATGGATAGATAAGCAATTTTCAGAAATTTTAAACTTTATACTATATTAATCTTATTATGTCTATTTATATTATTATGTTTCATTAATATTATTATGTTAAAAACTTTTATTTAATAATATTAATAATTTTAGTAATTTATTAATTATTATAATTTATAATTTAGCTTCAACATTTATTATTTTTGGAATAATATAATGTAAACGGCACAATTTTAAAAAATTATTTTATATATTTTTTTTGAATTTATTTAAATAAATAAATTATATTTGCAGCATTGAATTCTCTTATATTTATTAATGAAATGTAAAAATACGTGACATTCAAGGCCATGTTGAAGTCGAACCCAAAACGAGCGACGGCCCGACACAACGTCACCTCTTCAAAAATTTATTATTATTATAATTTATAATTTAGCTTCAACATTATTATTTTGAATAATATATGTAAACGGCACATTTAAAAATTTTTATATTTTTTGAATTTATTTAAATAAATAAATCTATATTGCAGCATTTGAATTCTTATATTTTAAATGAATGTAAATCGTGACATTCACAGGCATGTTGACAGTGACCGCGACGGCCCCGACACACCTCTTCAAAAAGTTCCATATTACAAAATCTATATTGCAGCACAGGAAACAAAATACTAAATCAACTAACCTAGCAAAATTATAAATTCATTCGAGAATATAAGAATATAAACAATTGAGCAACGTACCTTGAGCAGGAGACCTTCACGTCCGGTTCGGAGGGCCCGGGAGGAGAAGCAACTCTAAGTGGAGAATCTGATTTTCAAAGTTTAGTGGTGAAAAAATAAAAGTTGACGTCTGCTTTGGTTAGAAGAAGGCTTCCGGTTTGGTTATTATTGAATTTCACATTTAAAAAATGCCTTCCGGTTTGGTTAGAAGAAGGCTTTAGATTCCAATTGATTTCCATTCGGTTTGAGCTGATTTTCTCTAGTTAAGTTGGTTTAGAGAATTTTTCAATTGGTATTCTAGATTCTTTTTGGGTTTAGGTTGGTTTCTAATAGTGTTTAGAGTTTTTCTTGAGTTGGGCTTGCATTAAGTTGCTTTTGGATTATCTTTAATGAATCTTACTTTGGACTTTATTTAAAAACCACTAACTAATTTCTAAAATTTTTATTTAATATTTTTATATCATAAGTTCTCATTTGCAATTTATTTTTAATTTCAAACCTTTGAAATTAATAAATAGGATGTTTCAAGATACTCAATAAGTAATATATTTATTTTTTTAACATATGCCAAGAACCTAAAAAGAAAAGAATAAATATAAAAGCTTCAAGTATTCTTTTAGTTTTAGTTTATATATAATTTCCGGTTTTTATTAAAAATGTAAATAACTAATTTTAAAAATGAAATAATATATTTTAAAAGTTTTGCAGGGATAGAATAGAGAAAAAAAGGTGTAAATTCTTTTTATTTTATACTTTAAATGTTATTTTATTTTTTATGATATTTAAATATTTAATTTTAATTTTTATATAAACGATATAAATACTAGAATTATAATTATTGGTAAGATTGGATTTTAGTGTAGATATTTAATTATTTTTGATATAAGTGTAGATATTTGATTAATATATTTGATTTATGATATGTGATTTCAAACAAATAATTTCATTTTTATCATTCAATTAAAAATTAGAAATTAGTGTCTAAGTCTCTTATATAGATTTTGATAGTATTATTAGAAATTTTGTGTTCAAAAATGAATTCCTCATTCAATTTATTAGTACAAGAAAATTCATCGTGCGTTAATTATTGAGTTTTGAGCCAGCAAGTAATCGTGCAATGTGCGTCCTGTTATGGGTTTAGAAGAGCAGGCCCAAATCCAGTTTAATCAGCACGAAGCCTTTTGGTTTACGATGGTCCAAAGGGTTATCTTCTCTAAAATAATCTCAAAAGCTTCTTTCTGTTTCGTTTTAAGCAAAATTATACAGTTAGTCATTTCATCAGGGCTAAGGCGGCCAGGTTTAGTAATGGAAAACCATGATTTGACATTTGATTGGCTGAAATGACATTATTTCGTGCATCAACAACGTTAATCTCTTCAAATTATTACCTTCTCCAGCTATCTCTTCAGCTACAATCCCTATTTTATGCGTGCACTAACTAGACCAATGGATATAACGCTATTCCGTTCAAGAAAATATATAACAATGGCTTTCTCTAAGAATCAGCAAACGCTCCTTTCTATCGGGAATGGGCGATACTGTAGCGAAATGTGACATTAGAGTGGAAGAAGATGTTGAGCCATTTGATGATTTGACTAATCTACAGAGAAAGATGTTACTTTTTTATGTGAAAAATACATATGCAATGGCTGCATATAAATTATTTTTATGGATATAAGCAATTAAATTTATAGTACTGTTTGGTACTAATATATTTTTTTTATTTAAATGATATTATAATGTTGAAATTAATTAGTATAGTAGTAATATTAATGTTAGGATATTTTGGAAAAACGGGAAGAAAGATGACGATTCATCGTCCTCAACAATTTATCCAATCACATCCTCCGTTTCCTTCCGCGCAACTCGCGTGTTGCTGTTCGAGCCAAACAAAACCCTAACCCAAATCAACCAAAATTCAGAAACTGATAACGGAGGTCATTAACTGGAAAGATGGAAAGTGATGGTCCCCCACATCGAAATTCGGTTCACATCAAACACCTAGTTGCCATGTTTTATCAGTTTCTGATAAACCTTTCACGAATTTGGCTATGCCTTTCCATTTTAGGTAAATTGAACTTTTTAATCTTCTCCTTTCCTTGTTTTGTTCTTTATAGAGAGAGGAAAGATCTAGAATTCATCTGAAGAGAGAAACGGAGAGATTATGGCGAGAGGGAAGATCCAGATCAAGAGAATCGAGAACTCTACCAACCGGCAAGTCACCTACTCTAAGAGAAGAAATGGTCTCTTCAAGAAGGCTAATGAGCTCACTGTTCTCTGCGATGCAAAGGTTTCCATTATCATGTTTTCTAGCACCGGCAAGCTCCATGAATACATTAGCCCATCAACCACGTACTTCTCTTCCCCCCTCTCTCTCTCTCTCAAACACTTTTTAATCCGCTGTAACTAACCCCTTTTCTATGTATATCTGTATTTTTTTTTTTTTTTGAATAAATTGTGTTTCTCTCAAAAGAACGAAGCAGTTGTTCGATGAGTACCAGAAGACGCTTGGGATCGACCTATGGAGTACACAATATGCTGTCTGTATCGTCCCTATGTTTCTGATATGCTTATATATGTGTAAAAGAAACTATCTTTCTACGTTTGATCATATGCTCTTCTTTATGTGGATGCAGAGCATGCAAGAGAACTTGAAGAAATTGAAGGATGTGAACAGAAATCTGATAACGGAGATAAGGTAATGGTTTCTTCATTGATTGATCCATTGTTGTTTTTTGCATGCTTTCTCGTTTATTTCGCAAATTTTCCGTTGGATGATATGCTTATTGTACTGCAATGCAAGGCAAAGGATGGGCGAATGCTTGAACGATGCAAGCTTTGAGCACTTGCGTAGTCTAGAGCAAGATGTGGACACTGCCTTGCTGCTTGTTCGTCAGCGCAAGGTTTGAAATCCTCTTGCCTTGATTAGAAATTTTATTTGTGTAATTTACATGGTGAAGCCTAGGGATTTTTTTATCTAAATTAGAAAATTCAATTCAATTTTTTTCCACCACATTTCTCCATCTTTATTTCTCTAATTAAGAAACTTTATATATATTTTACACTAATTTTTTCTTTAGCCCTCTTAGTGTGGAATAGCATTTAAGAGAACTAATAAAAGAAAAATCAGTAGAAATCTATATTTTTAGAGACAGCATAATGACCAATTCCTTAATAAATTTCACGAGTAATCTACCAATTCTTTCTTTTGAAATCAGGGATTTTGTTTTATGATTTTATACTGTGAATTGAAGCTGCATAAACCTCTTTTCCCTCTTTTTCATGGTTCAACATGAGATTAATGGATGAGAATGATAAATACATTAACTAATAGGAAAAATTCCTGAAAAAGGAAAGTAATGTACTTCATTACTTGTGAATATATATATATATATATACACACACCTAGTCTTTTGCTTATCATGATATTAGTTGCTCAATTAACAATTTTTGCTACCTGTTTCTTTTCTTAATTATGGTTACAGAATAAGATGATCAATAATCAAATACAAACCTGCAGGAAGAAGGTATTTTTACATTTTTTTTTTTTTTTAAATTAACATGATCAATCTTTTTACAATTTCCTTGTTTCTTTTTTTACTTGGTTGCAGGTAAGGAATGTGGAAGAAATACATCAAAATCTTCTGCGTGAATTTGTAAGCTTCAAGCATATATGTTTAATATCACCTCGAAAACATTATTTCTTTGTCTTCAATTTCTTAATTTTTCTTTGATCTATCAATGAAGGAGGCAAGAGATGAAGATCCACATTACGGGTTAGTTGATAACGGAGCCGGAGACTATGATTCTATGCTTCGCAATATATTTGCTTTAAGACTTCAACCTAATCACCCTAATCTTCAGAGCGGAGCAGGATCTGATCTCACAACCTACACTTTGCTTGATTAGCATTAATTAATTTGAGGTCACAGTTAATTAATGATCTTTTCTAGAGATGACAAGTGCTTGAACTCGTAATGTGTTAAGAATGTCTTCACCTTTAAATATTTTGTATTATCAACTAATAGTGATTACTCACCATTTTCCTTCTAATTAATGATGTAAAATTTGCCTTGTGTTTTCTTATCAATTAATATTTTATTTGAGCATTAGGACAGAAGAAATTTAAATTTAAATTTATTGTCAAGTCATATATAAATTTATCACTAAACTATTTTTCAGTGTATAATAAATTTAAATATCTTAATTGGACTAAATCTAATTCTGTTCATATCGCATCTTAATGAAAATTTCACCGTTAACAAAGATTAACATGCTGCCTCTCTTGTTTAGAGTAATTTCAGTACTTTCTACTCAAAATAACCTAACCTCGCTGATTATGGCCCTACTTGTTTTTAATAATTAAAGAAAATAATAATGATAAGGAACAAATATTTGTTTCCTTCTAAAAATTAAATACGTAGTATTTTTGTTTGATATGGACTGTTTGGTCAAAGTCAACCCGAGTAAACCGCCCCGAGACAAAGCATAAGCAAGCAAAGTTCCCACTTGCCGTCACCTGAGAAAATCACTGCACAGAGGAATTTTGGTTTTGGTTATTGAGTACGTGCCCTATCTCGACAACGATTTCATAGATTTTCTGTGAAATCACCGGTCACCTCACCTGAGAGTCCTGATACGCCACCGAAACCGAATCCTTCCTTGTCCACGTTTCGCATCAAAAGCATTCTCTTTCTCGGTGCGTGTCGTGTTATTGTTTTTTTTTTTTTTTTTTTTTGCAACAGAGGATTTATGGTTTTTTGGTATATTGACGTAGTGCCCTATCTCGACACGATTTATTCATAACGATTTTCATGTGATCATACACGGTCACCAATTCACCTCGCCAGAGATCCTGATACGTGACCACCGACGAATCCTCTCCCCTTGTCCAGTTATTATCGCACATTCAAAAAAGCATTCTCTTTTCTCGGTGGCGTGTCGTGTATTATTGTTTTTTTCTTTTTTTTTTTTTTGTTCTTCCTTCATTATTGATTTTTTTTATTTTTGGCTTTTAAACGCCAACTGAAATGGCTGCTTTTCCCTTTCCTCTTGCTTTTCATAGAGAAAGAACCATACTTTTTGAGAGAGACAAACATAAGGTATAGGAGGGGAAAGTTAAGAGAGGGTTTGAAGCTGTTCGGGTTTTCTAGATTCCATAGGGAAGCTCTTGCCTCCTGTGTCCCTTTGGATAACCAGAGAAGATGATCATTTTGTTAAAGGAATGGCTGTTGAGGGGTAATTTTATTTCTGAAGTATTTACCGTTATTCATTTTCACCAATTTTGTTTATTGCTTTCTTCAATATTCCCATGTCCCTTGTGTATTGAGGTATTTGGTTGTTCTTTCATAAGCCAATTGGACTGTGGTTTTGCAATTTTTTTCTGGGTTTATTTTTGTTTTTTTTTTTTTTTTTTTCTTCCTTCATTTTGATTTTTTTTTTTTTTGGCTTAAACCCCACTCTGCTTGTTCCCTTCCTTTGCTTTCATAGAGAAGAACCATACTTTTGAGAGAGACAAACAAGTATAGGGAGGGAAAGTAAAGAGAGTGAAGCTGTCGGGTTTCTAGTCATGGGAGCTCTTGCTCCTGTGTCTCCTTGGATACCAGAAGATGATCTTTTGTTAAAGAATGCTGTTGAGGTAATTTATTTCTGAAGTATTTACCTTTCATTTTTCACCAATTTGTTTATTGCTTCTTCAATTTCATGTCCCTTGTTTTGAGGATTTGGGGTTGTTCTTCATAGCAATTGGACTGTGGTTTTGCAATTTTTTTCTGGTTATTTTTGGTAAAAGGAAATATTTAATGTGGAAAGAATTGTGGGCTCATGTTGGGTGATTCTCTCTTTGGGTTACCGAAAATTAGGGGAATTCTTTTTTATTTTTGCTGCATTCTTTTGAATTTGAATTTCTAGACATCCATAGGATAATTTTTTAGCGGTTGAATTTTTATGGTTTGATAGTGTTTTCTATGCCTGTTTCTCTTGTTGGCTTGGTTATGGTCTTGTAATGGGTTTTCTTCATGTCTCTATCTTTTGCTTTAGACATGCGTGGTATTAGATTAGAGGGGGTTAGAGTGCGGAACTTCGTAACCTTCGTTGAGAATTTACTTAACGGTGGAAGGTGAATCCATAACCTACTAATTCTCATTTATCTTAAATCCCCAAGTTAGGGTTAAAAGGGTGTATTGTAAAGTTTTCAAATGTTTTCATACCCATTAACTTCCTACACTCTCTCTAAAACTCCAAACAGAGCAAAGTTACAATTTCGTTTCCTTTACCAACATTAATTCCCTTTTCCATGGCCTCTAAAACTCCCATGAAATACCTGCATGTTCTCTGGAATTGTACGAGGATTGCTAGTAAAAGAGTCATCAGTAGTTGTTGAGGAATTTTATACATGCTACATGGGGCTTTTGCTTTAAATATGACACGTACGAGTACAAGACATTCCATTAACTTACCTAACAATTAGGTATGTACTCAAGGATTTTGGCTGATAGTAGATAGTTTACAGATAAGTGCCAGACTATGTTGTTGTGGTGTCAAAAGGCGTGGGATTGTGACACCTGGAATTGGTTGATAGGTCTCCTGCATTAGGCATTGTAATTACAACAGCAATCTAATGCACAACTTTTTTGCCCAGTTGGAGAATTATGGAATTGTCACGATGCAGTATTGTGTGTATGTGGGTACATGTGTGATTGTCAGGATGCTGTATTTAGTATGTGTCAAGTGTCAACCTTACAAACACTGCTTCCTGTAATAGAAATGCCATTTTTATATACATTTTCAGAATTGTGAGGCATTTAAAGGGAGGACTGTATTTCATTGCCCTGTTTCTGTTTACATGCTACTAGGATACATGCACGATCATGAATATGACAACCTACATAACCTTTTGCCGCGAATAGTATCATTTAGAAGACACAGTAAAAAATTATTGGACAAAACGAGTGACGAGGTTCCCATGGCAGTTTTGGGCATGGATTTTGTGTGAGATAGAGAAATTTGATCCCATCACTCATAATTATGAATTCATTGGAAACTCTTGTCACTAGGAAGTTTGAGATGACTTTCTGGTTGATGGTTAAATAGATATTTTGTACGTGCAGAATTTTCCTTTGCTTTTCATTGATACGTTTGATATTTCTATTATCATTAGACCTTTTAGGACAATAGCGAACAGATGTTAGCCCATGTCCATATGTTATGCCTATCAAGACTGAACAAGAAATGGCAAATGGAATGATTCAGGCACAAGCAAATATTTATTAATTGGTGCAAAATGTATGTTTTCTTATTTTGTTTTCGTTTACATCTTTTTTTTAAAAAATTTGCTTGGGTGGCCTTATTGTAATGCGTGGCTTTTGTTCTGTGTAGCATGTTGGTTTACATTTTTGTTCTAATATTTTCTGTTGATTTGTTTCTTTCTTCTGATTTTAGGCTGGTGCTTCCTTAGAATCACTTGCTAAAGGTGCAGTGCAGTTTTCTCGAAAATTCACTGTTCGAGAAATACAAGAACGATGGCATTCTCTCCTTTATGATCCAATTGTTTCTGCAGAGGCTGCTTTTCACATGATTGAGTTCGAGCGATCTGCTTCAACTCTTCAATCAAAATTCAGTAAATCAGGGAATCAAAAAGAGAACAAATTTATCTCGGGGAAAAGAAAAGCTGAAAGTGTTCGCAGTTGTTACTATGCTCTCCGCAAAAGAATTCGCAATGAGCCATTTAACACTATGGATTTGAGTTTTCTCATTGCACCTACTGATAGCAGTTACATGGGAAACGAAGACGAGCCTTTCTCTGGGAATTGTATACTTGGAGATACAAATCATTTTGAACTTCAGGAATCTAATTTGGATATCATGGATCATCCCTTTCCACAAATTGGGGATGGTACTACTGCACATGTTTTTCATGCCCAATTCCAGAACACTGTCCAGGAAGATTATCCAATGGAGAAAGATAATATACATGAAGAGATTCCACATATACATGGAGAGGATATGAATTACATTAGAAATGATTCTATGATTGAGGAATTCAGTAGAACAAAAGAATTTCCAGAAAATAGTGACCAAGTGCATGGATGCTCTAAGTTTGATGGAGACCACGTCCATAGTTCTCCAATTTCAGAGTGTGCTATGTCATTTCATAACTTGGAATACCCATCTCCTCTTCCTGAAGTGCCAATATGGAGGACAGTTGAGGGTGTTTCGCCACCAAGTATTCCAGCTAATATGCACACGGCAGACACATTTTCGCTTGGTGGTGATGGTGATACAAAGAATACATGTCTTTCAGAATATGACTTCCATAGAGACTCCAACTTAAGGCTAGAAATGCCAAGTGAGGAGATGAAAAATGTAACTGTCACCGCAGAAGGTTATCTAGCTGAACTTTCCAATTCTCTTTTGAATTTCACAAATGATGAACTTCTGTTCACAGATGTTGATGGGAAAGATGCAATTGACAAGTCTTACTATGATGGTCTGAGTTCACTTTTACTGAGTTCACCAAATGATGCCAATCAAGATCGTATTCTGGATATACCTGAACCAGAATCATCTTTAACTCCAGATTATCTTACAAAGAAGTCTCTTGCAAGTTGTGGAGAGTTGGATGAAGATAGGGGTTCTCACCACAGTGGTGATGTACCTGGAGATTCAGAGGTGCAGTTACTTACTTCTGCATCAACTTCAAACTCTCAATTTCCTGAACTGAGTGTTGGAGTTATTATCTGCACGTTAAACACTGAGGATACCGAGATCCCATGCAATGATGATGTTGTCTTTACCAATCACTTGCGTCCAAAATCATTTTCTTCTGTAGCCCGGCGGAATTTTCCTGATACTTCTAAACCAAATTCTTCAACTGCTAAGGAATTATCAAGTAATCCCAAAACTCCAAATTCTTCAACTGCTAAGGAATTTTTGAACAATCCAAAAACTAGTGAAGGAGGTGTGGTACTGATGAAGAGAGATCTAGAAAATACCAGGCAATCTCATGCACCTTCTCAGATGATAAGATCACAGGTAATACCAGAAATTAGCTCTCTTCATCCGGTTGGAGATCGTGGGATTAAATTCAACTTGCCTAGTAGTGGCACCAGTCACAAGAATGTAGGTATTGCTTATGGTAGTTCATCTCAAATTAATTCAGGAAATGTTACTACAGATACTTTTGTTTCTACTAAGCTAAAGGAAGAAGCTCCTGAAGTTGTGCCGGTGAAGCATTTTAGTCATAATGCAGCTGATTCTTCAATAGAGAAGGCCGCTTTTACTCCTAATGGTTACAAATCTTACTCGCAGACAAATGTTATTGATGCCAAACAGGATCTAGATGCCCCAACAACAATTCAAAATTGTCAGACTTCACATGCTAAATTGGTGTCTGTAGATACTGTTCCCCCTGAACCAGCAGTTGAACATCCATTATCAGATCCAGAAGAGCCACCGATAGAGAGTGATGATGATGTTCCATATTTTTCAGATATTGAAGCAATGGTAATCTTTATACTAATCTTCCAATAGATGAGTATTTTTTTTCTTGTTTCTTTTTTCTTTTCTTTTCGACTCTGCTTCTTTTCTCTTTTGCCAATTTCGTTTCTGAATAAGATGTCTCACTTCCTATATTATCAGATACTTGATATGGACTTAGATCCAGAAGACCAGGATTTATATTCCAATGAGGAAGGTAATAAAGAGCCTGTATGGTGTTCATTTAATTACAAGCTGTGTGTACGTGCGTGTGTTGTTTTCTGTGTTGATCCGCACATAAAGAGCTTAATATACTGCAATCCACATGTGAATCTTAAGTTACTTTGTGCAGTCACGAGATATCAGCATGAGGACATGAAGAAGGTAATCATAAGACTGGAGCAGGGTGCTCATTCTTATATGCAAAGAGCCATCGCGTCTCGAGGAGCGCTAGCTGTTTTATATGGCCGCCATTCAAGGCACTATATAAAGAAACCTGAGGTATCTGAGAACAGTAACCCTGTTTGATTGCTTAACCTATTTGGCTTTGTCTATTGAAAAGCCTAATCTTTTAGTTCATCTCAACATGGTTCCCTTTACATGCAAAGGCATAATGGAGCATAAGTCTTATTTGGATTAATTGCTCATCTGCATTATCTGGCAACCCACCTAATTTTGAACCACTGGGAAAAATATTGATGATACTAGCTTCTATACAACTGAAAATATCATGTGCAGTAGTTTGGAGTAATCATCTGTATTATTTTAGTCATTTTTGAAGCTCATGCAACTGAACTATGATATATTTTTTTGCTTTTTTGTTTCCTTTTGTTTCAGAGCTTAATTTCAATTATATGTCTGAGATTATGCAGGTTTTACTTGGTAGAGCAACAGAAGATGTTTCTGTTGATATTGACTTGGGTAGGGAAGGGCGTGCAAATAAAATATCTCGTCGGCAGGTGACTTTTGTTTGTCCATGTCGGTTTATTTGTGTGCTATTGTGACATTTTGCCTTGTTTTCCTTTGTTCTTTCTTTTTCTTTTTTCCCTGTTCTCTCCTGAAGCTTTTGGGGACCAGTAGTCGTATTTTCGTGTTTCTTTTGATTTTTGATTTATTTATTCTTTGTTTCTTCTTTTGTGAATTGACATCTGTTTCTTTACTTTGATTCTTTGTGGCACTGTAACAATAGATAAATTCATCATTGTTCATGCATGAAAATGGCTAGATTGAAGAAAATTAAGAAATTCTTGTTCTGGAAAAGGAAGATCCTAATTGCAGAATGTCTTAAATTGCTAATGATTGATTCTACGAGTTATGTTGACATGATACTCAGTACTCTATCCCTACTATATTCAGCTTTCCATCTGTTTCTGTAATCTAATGACCCTCCTGCAGGCAAATCAATAATGAAAAACCTCTACTGTTACATTGAAAAAAAAAAAGCTTTGGTAGGTTCCTTCATTCTAAGAGTCTAGCGGGAATATAGACCAAGTATTGTTTGTACCATGACAACATTGTCGAAAGAAGGTCCCAGTGGAGTCTTGGCTGGTCTCCCACTCTTCTTTTCCCATGGTAACAGCTGTCCCTCAGCAGTACTTGCGCGCTACTGAACTCTGCATTGAGTTCCTTATAAGATGGTACCCAAAAAGCAATAGCTTCAGGTGGCTTAGAGATGTCTCAGTGCTTGAAACTTCCCACATTGTGAGACACACACACACACACACACACAGAGGTGAGGGAGGAAAGGTAGGTGTAGAAATGCACCATTGCGCCCTAAAGAAAGCCACCAAAAGGTACCTGCGTGCCTCCTATTTCATTTGATGAGCTGAATTTGGGGCACAGCTTTTTTCTTTTGACTACCATCGATAGCTTAATCTTAAGAGGTTCCTGAATTTATATCCAATTCTTGGTTCTTCTGCCCTTGTCTTGGAATATGCATTTCAAAAAGTCGATCCCTTACGTAAATTTGATCCCAACACTTGCGCACACAACCAAGTCTATATAAGCCTATAGATATGTGGAAATATTAATGACTAGGGGAATGTTTGTTGTTTCTACAGCAACAGCAACTGTTATTTGGCATAAGACCATCCTATGGATATTAAATTGAGATTCCATTCCACAAGCCTTACATATGCCAGCAATACCACTCTCAGGAGTGATATCATCAGGTCTCAGTTCTCAAACTATAGATAGTGGTCACCGACTCACAGGCCAAGTTAACCTCAGAGGCTGAGCTGTTTAGTTTATAATGAGCTTAGAAGTTTTTTGTACTGGAAATGGTCGAGATGAAACCTAGTGTTATTTTGGGTTAGGACACTTAAAAGATTATCTGGGGTCTGATTCCCACTCTGCAATCAGCTGTTAGAACCAATAGGTCTTCAAATCGTTCATTTGAAAAAATGGAAACCCTTCTTATTGGATGATCATGATACTTCCCATGTTAGAACCAATAGGTTTCTTCAAAATCGTTCATTGAAAAAATGGAAACCCTTCTTTATTGGATGATCATGATACTTTCCCAAAAATCTAAATTTTTTGATTAATGAGAACAATATCACCATTTTTGTTTCAAAAGAATTACCAACCTAGTGTTATTTTGGGTTTAGGGAACTTAAAGCGCATTATCTGAACCCTTCTTATTGGATGATCATGATACTTCCCAAAAATCGAAATTTTTGATTAATGGAGGAACAATATCACCATTTTTGTTCAATAAGATACCAACCTAGTGTTATTTTGGGTTAGGACACTTAAAGGATTATCTGGGGTCTGATTCAAGTGTCATGTCAGCTTCTAATTATGAGTAATCTAGCATAAAAGAATCAAGAATGCACTGTGCTTCTTAGGATCTACAATAACTGTATGCAGAATTAATAGACGCTCAGATTGATTCCCCAGTACTGGAGAATTAAGGATCATAATTTTGTCATAGTCGGCTTTATGGAAATATATTGATAAATTTCTAAAGAGGAAAAAGTGTGGAGGAAGTTTGATGTTGAAGATGGCTTGGCTAATAATTGACTTGTATTATTGAAGTCTTTAAAAGTATAAAAAATATTGCATTTTATTTTTTGTAAGAAGTAACTTTGAAGTTTTCTTTCTTTCAGCTTATATGAGTTTGCCAAAATTTTCTGAGTATTGCTTATGCTACAAGTGCATGTTAACGTTGCTTTTATGTTTTATTTGTGTAGGCAACTATAAATTTGGACAATAGTGGATCTTTCCATCTGAAAAATCTTGGCAAATTTCCTATATCAGTGAATGACAAGGAAATAGCCCCTGGACAGAGTCTAAGCCTTACTTCCAGTTGTTTGATTGAGGTTTCTTCCTGTACATTTTTCTTGAGCAATAGCCTTATCATGCATGATACATCACATATCCATGTAGAATATAGCTGTATCTATTTAAAAATGTCTTTTATAGAACCTTTCTCTGTCAATTATCTCAAGCCTGCAGCAACCTTTTGACTGTGCAACTGGTTTTCCAATGCCAAGAATATTCCTTTGTCGTGGTTCCTTTGTTTAACATTTTGGTGTGATTGTAATTCACTGACCCAACCTTTTCCCCTAAAAGACTCTGTTGCTGTAAACATAAAAGTCCATTCTGGCTGTGCTATCTTCTTTTAGAAGGGCACTTAATTCTTTTAATATCATTAACCATGATCTAGTTTGTTGCTTCTGTTTTGTTCCAAAGGAAACTTGAAACCTTCATTTCTGCCATTCTTTTCTTGCAACTTCTCTTGGCTCTTGTGTTCCTCATTAGATATGTTATATGTCAACTAAAGTTTTGCAGTGGGCTCTTTTGAATAGAACTTTTATTAACATAAGTTTATACGACACATTCTATACAAGTCTTAATAAACATAAAATTTTCCTCAAAAGGTTTATTTTACTCTTGACATCCATTTCTGAGCAACTATAGTGAAATTGATGAATTTGCAGATAAGGGGTATGCCATTTATATTTGAGACGAACCAAACTTGCGTGAAGAAATATCTGGATAGCTCAGCCCAGAACCACCAAACCCTGGAGCATCAAAACTGAAGCATCGCGAGAAAGTTCACGGATTGGAAAAATGTCATCAGAAGGTGCTCATTTTTTTTTCCTGCGCTTTCTGGATCTTTTCTTGTAAGCTATGTTTAGCCTGTTGTATGTATCACTAGCCATGTTGAAAAAAGACTGCTGTTTTCTCGTAAGAAAACATTTTCCATATATAGTTGGAATAGTTTTGTCAAAATTTCAAAAATAGGGTTAGTAAAAGTAATTGCATCATTGTCCATAATGGTTTCCCTGCCTGTTCCGCGAAATTCTATTAGACAACAGCAATGCATGGCACAGTAACAGTGTTTCTGAGGTCTAGAATGAAATAGCAACCAGCTTGTATCCCTTGATGGAGATTAGCTATACCTACAAGGTAAATACACGGGTTATAGCTTTCAATTGTTTTTATTAATCAATATTCTATTGATTGGTCAGAGGTTATGGACAAAAAAGATTTGTCCAAGCTACGGAGGTTGTTCATAATTGGGACAGCTAAAACACTTGTAGGGATGAATTGTGCTTGGATGCTAGTCCAGTCTAGATGAGACTTTGAGTTTTCAATCTGTTCAAGTTAATTTATGATATTAGGTAAAACGGTAGATATTTGAAATTACTAAAATAATAAAAATAGGATGGTTAAAAAAAAAAAAAAGAAGCGTTTTTCATTATCTATCAATAAAATATTAATTCTTCAGTATAATACCATTATTAGACTATCCCACGCCTAATTTGACTTGCAAATCACAGCAAAAGCTATGCGATAATCTGAACCGCTATCCTGACTACTTAGTTAAATTCATGCAGCTATTTCGCTTGGGAGCTTTTAAAGCTATGCACGTCAAATCTCAAGCGGGTCCCTTAATAGGCAGACCTAGGGAAAGGCCACTATAAAACCCAGATTGTACGGCACAGCCACTTCTTCTGTTGCACTTATACTGCAACTACTACTACTGATTCTGATTCCCTGCATAACTTCAAAAAGTCCAGATCCATCATTTTTCTACCATTTCACTTCCTAAATATGTCAAAACACAGACCCATTCTCAATCTGTCTCTGGCTTTTATATTGCTTGAAGTAGTAGTCGTACATTCAAGAACCTACCTTGGAGACATACGAGTGCTCAAGGATCTAAAGAATGGATTGGACCCCAGCTCCATTTCCCCTGCATCTTGCCTTAGTTCATGGGACTTCTCTTTGGACCCATGTGATCACATCTTCAGCGACAAATTCACTTGCGGCTTCAGGTGTGATCGAGTTGCCTCCGGTTCATTCCGAGTTACTGAGATCACTCTTGACCCTGTTGGTTATTCTGGTTCACTTTCTTCTACCACATGGAACCTCCGTTTCTTACAAACGCTTGACATCTCCGATAACTCATTCTTTGGCTCAGTCCCTGAGTCACTTGCCAATCTCACGCGCCTTCGTCGTCTCAGTCTCTCCAAAAACTCTCTCTCAGGCGAGTTACCATTCTCCCTCGGGTCTCTCTCCCACCTCGAAGAGCTCTACCTTGATAACAACAATCTCAACGGATCTTTACCTTCAAGCTTCAGTTCTCTTGTAAGCTTAAAAAGACTCGAAATCCAACAAAACAATATCTCGGGTGAGTTCCCTAATTTGCATTCGCTAAAACGCTTGTACTTTGTGGACGCAAGCGATAACCAGTTCTCCGGTCAACTTCCGTCAACATCGCCAATGTCTCTTGTTGAGCTTTCAATGCGAAACAATAACTTAAAAGGGAACATACCGCACAATTTAGGCGATTTGGAGTATTTACAGGTTTTAGATCTCAGCCACAACCAATTATCAGGGCCTGTATTATCACTTATTTTTAACCATCGGAGCCTTCAACAGCTGACTCTATCTCACAATAACTTCAGAGTCTTGCAAGTTCCAAGGACAAAGGGTTTTACCAGTAAACTTATAGCTCTCGATTTAAGCCATAACAATCTTGGAGGCCTATTGCCAGCATTTCTTGGCTCGATGCCCAAGTTATCTGCTTTGAATTTGGAGCAAAACAAGTTTACAGGGATGATACCAACTCAGTACGCTCTGAAAGCGGCAGTTCAAAAAGCTCATACGTCGTCGTTTGAGAGACTGTTATTGGCAGGAAACTACTTGTTCGGGCCGATTCCGGGTCCTTTAATGAGTTTGAAACCGGGTTCTGTTGATTTGAGCCTGGTGGATAATTGTTTATACAGGTGCCCTGACAACCTTTTCTTTTGCCAAGGTGGGGATCAGAAATCGTTAGTGGATTGTAAGAGCTTTCGGCCTTAAATTCCTTAATTAAAGATAGTTGCTGGATAGTACTCTTAAGTGAACCAGATTTGTATTATAATACATATGTTATTTGCTTCTTTTGTTTCTCCTCCTTTCTTGCTTTGACCATAATTAAAACAAAATGGTCATGAGAAATTCAACTTCAAGAAAATAAATAAGATATTTATTTTTATTGTATTATTTTCTTTGACACCTAGATTACGAATTTACTGTAATCAGAACATTATACTATCTTTGATTATATATACTACAAAACGAAGTTGCATGCATGAAAACAGTGTTAGTTATAGATCCAAGACATAATAAAATATGTGATTGTTATCTGAAAATATCTTTTCAGGTAGGTGAGTTTTAATGCATCCTTTATTTTATTTCATCTCACATGGGATCAGTAGTAACTCAGGTTTCTAATTTTTTTTGACTACCAAATTTTTAATCATATATGTACTCCCCATGGACTTGATAGCACCGGCCACCGGCCCCATGTGCGGCCCTTTAATAAACCTGCAGCTGCAGAGGCATTGTTTATGTCCTGACTGTTCACTGCTAGTCGTCTCGTAGCACGAACTAATTCAGAGAATTCAGGACCTGTAAGGTGGCCCATTTAAACCTATTCCACGTTTGCTCATCTTTCTGGCCCAATCTCAATTAACTTTCGCAGGTATATGGGCCACGACAGATCTTTGAGCCGATTGGGCTTTTGGCAATTTTTGTTTTTCAACCCGATAGCTCAGGCCTTATTCTGTTGTGGTCCACGACTCCAAACCTCTTCTTCACCTTACGGTGATCTGAAAACTTCTGCTCCTTAACTTGTTTGGTGTGGATCTAAGCATCAATACACACTTTTGTAGACACAATTCCTGTTTTGGGGATAGAAGAAGGTAAAATTTTGTTGTTCTTTGACTAATTCTTGTACTAAATAATGCCAAACTAATCATGACATTTCTTGGATCCAAAAGATGAAAATAATTAGTTAACACGAAGAATACTAAAACTCCTAACAAACCAGAAATAAGATAAGGTAATCATTAAAATAAAAAATAATATTAAAACTACTAGCAAACCAGAAATGATATAACAATATTAATTAGTTTTTAAATGTCATGTAGCCCCACATCCAATTTCATAATCTTTATTTATTTTTTGGATTGATCCACTCCCATAAGTATTCCTATAATATTCTTCATTTATTGTACATTTTTCTTAATTGCTTGGATTCACAAACGGGCATTAACTATTTGTCATAAATACACGAAAGCTGTACCAGTAGAAGAAAACAATGTAAATAAATGAACAAGAAGATGGGTCTATGCTGGACCCCCAGGGCTTTCATATTAATATATTATAATGCATAACCATGACCTACGAGTTGTGGTTAAGTTAGCAATGCAGATCAAGCATATGGGAATAACTTTTAAGTTCAGATATGTGGGTACTTATTAATTGTGATTAAGTCTTGAGCAGGATTAAACGGTCCCTGATAATAGGTCTGGATACCGGTGGTTTAAAAAAAAAAATTCGCATAACCATAATATTATACTATATATTAACTTTAATAAATGTTTGCCACTTTACAGGTGTATGTATTATTTTATATTAATGTGTTTATCATTGCATCTATCAAATTAATATGCAAATAATGTCATTACTTATTGCTTACCCTTATTATTATTGATTACACTTTAATTAGGTTCTTGGTGGGCGCAATACTTTTTATAAAAAATTTTATAGCCTCTCAAATTTTTTAAAAAAGATATACTTTGCTATTAAAATTATGAATTTTAATAATATTTTATATTTGTCAATACTAATAATAACTTTTAAAATTTATAGCTTTGATATAGATAATATTGATTTGATACGTTGTTATTATATTTTATATTTCAAACGAAAGGCTTGACAGATAATTTACACTGTTGAAAAGGATATCTTACTTGCTAAAAAAAATTGGAAAAAACAGAAAGAAAAAAGAGTCCGGAATGCCGTCCGAGTGAATGGAATCGGGGCATCCAAATATATTCGGGTCTTAATCCTCCGAGCAGATATCCACTTTTGATTTAATTAACATATAATCCACTCTTTTTTTTTTTTTTTTTTTTTTTTTATACACTGTTTGAAAGAGATATCATAATACTAGCTAAAAAAAATATTGGAAAAAACAGAAAAGAAAAGAGTCCGGAGCCGTCCGATGTGAAATGGAATACGGGGACAATCCAAATATATTTCGGGAACTTAAATCTCACAGAGCCGAAATATCCAACTATTATAAGATTTAATAAACATATAATACCACATCTTATTTAATAATTTATATATATTTTATATTATTGAGAAAATAACAAAATAGGAACAATTGACAATGAAACCTGCCTTGTATTAGGCAAGTTGAAAGTAAAAAAACACAACTTCTCTATCTTACCAATTTCTTTATAACCAGAAAGAGATATAATTAGCGAGATTTAAAATTGATATTTATATATACAACAGTTTTTACAATTTTTTTTTTTTTTTTTTTTTTGGAATCATGACATTGACATGACCTGCCTTGTTTTGCAAGTGAAAGTAAAAACCACTCTCTTCTACAATTTCTTTACCAGAAGAAAGTTAATTAGCGAGTTTAATTGTATTTTATATACACGTTTTCAATTATCTCTATTGGTTAACTTTTCAAAATATGAGATTAATTGACTTTGATGTTTCCATCACTCATTATCTGGTAGACTTTAGGTTACTTGGATATAAAAAGTTTTACCACTACGATGAATCGAAAAGAAATTATATTTTTACGTAGGTTATTATATTATTTCGAATCATTAGTCATGTCACTCACGGGTAAAAAAAAAATTGAAAGGCTAGTTTCCTCCCCACCGACCGATTTACCATGATGTGATGATGGGACAAATCACGTACCGCGATGAAATTATTTAGATGGACTGTTTTGCAAGCGCCGATAACTTTCATCCAATGCTTTGGTCAATCTTCTCCAGCGCTACCAAATTATTCGCACGGCAAATTGGAAAAGAATGTCACTTCTCACTCAGTACCTGAAACGTGTTTGCAACTATTTGTGCTATCAAAAGAATAATTATGAATATTTTCTTCACATTTACAAATAATTTATAAATTAATATATAATTAATTAACATTTTATTTTATCAGTCTCCGTCCTTTTTTTTTTCACCTATTTAAAGTGCATGGACTTGAGTTTGGTAGCTCTTCCATTATGAAAGAAATTAATAAATTAATTAAAATAACAAATTTACTAAATTGTTTAAGGTAAGCACTCCTAGTAGTTGAGACTTGAGACTCTTCTAGATTTGAACTCAGCCATTCTCGCCTGTCTGTCTATCCATTTTACATAAGTGATGAGATAAGCATAAAAAAAAAAAAAAAAACATATAGTGATGAGATTATAGCTATTCAAAAAAAAAAAAAAAAGATGGAGCTGCTATTTGTTATCATATAATGCGGATCAGTCTTTCCACTATATGGCAGATATATTTTAATTATTTGGCGTCCAGGCTAACACAGCATACCATATCTGATCTGAAACCCATTTTAGACTGACATTAATTTCTTGCTTTAAGTCTCCATGGACGATAGCAGTTTGGTAAGTGATATCATAACATTTCGAATTGCACAATTGCTATATAGACTTTATTTGTAAACTTAACGTTCTGTGTGTTTAAAAAAAAAAAAAAAAAGATGGAGCTGCTATTGTATAAATGGCACAGCTCCAAAGGCAGATATATATAATATGGGCAAGGGCAACACAGCACAACTGATCTGAAAGCCCATTAGCTGACATAAAGTCTCCATTACGAGGCAGTTGGTAGGTAGCATAACAGTCGATGCAATTGCAAGACTACTTGAACTACGTACTTTTTTTATTAGTTACTATTTTTATTACTTCAAAAGATTTCTGCTTGAAATTTGAATCCATAAATATCATACACCTTTAAAGGCATTTCTTTGCTTCCTAGTTGCAAGCAGAAAAAGGGACCCTGCCGTGGCCCCTTGCTACGGACAAGGCGAGAGAGAGAGACCTTTTATATCTTCCATCTTACGAAAGATGGGGAATGAGAATGGTTGACTCATCGCAGTTTACTCTTCCTTCTTAGGGTACTCCTATTATTGTCAAAATTAATGAAAATTACGATTAGCTAATGTCGTTTTCACTTGTCAATGTTTTTCTCCTTTCGTTTTCGATTAATTTGCATCTAATATTACTAATTGAACTCGTAATACCAAAACTTTGAGAACAATTATAATATTATTGAGACTATATATATATATAATCTTGAATAAAGTTTCTCCTCCTTTATCAATATTTGTGTTGGACAGTGACAATTAATAAATATTATTTGTCACGTTGTCTTTAATTATTATAAATTTTAATCTCGATATAAGCGTGGTTTAACGTGTTCAAGATATATTTTGTTGGGATTTTTATAAAATAAACTAACTATATATTAATCTTTTCTTGTAAATATATATGCAAGTTGCTTAAAAACTACTATTCAAATAAGTATATGTTAATAGATAGTTAGATTCACGAGATTTAAGATTAGATAGTTTTTTTTTTTTTTCTTTTCGTAGTAAAAATAATAGTGAAAAACGAGGATATATAACTTTTACATTTTTTACCATTTTCATTTGCTAGCAAGCAATGAAGTAATTGGCATGCAAAGATGGAAATCCATGAGACCAAAGAGAACTATTTTCTGCTTTTCGTCTCCAGTGAACTACTGTTTGTTTTATTCTTCTTCAACTCAAAAGGAAACTATTCCATTATTCTCTCCTTACGGTTCACTTTTGGTACTTTGATTTCATAATTCGTTATGCTTTAATTAGCAAAATGGAATAGTTTTTGACGAGTTCAGGATTTGATTCTGCAATAACCAACTAGCTGGTGATGGTGGTCCAAATCCTGAATCCTAGTAAATGAACGGTTATTCGCAAATTGCTTTTTTTTTTTTTATCAATCCATTTTATTCGTTATATATAAAGATAAATACTAGTGTAACATTTAACAAAAGAAATTCTTTGAAGAATTTGATTTTAATAATTATAAAATTTATTCTTCATTATCTTACTCAAAGAATGAGGTTATTATGATGTCAAAATAAATTTGTGAACTATATAGCGGTGATCCACTGCCAAAATAAAAATTTTAATGTATATATATATTTATCTAAATTAATTCATAAGATTCAGTTTATTTATATTTTTTACCTTTTTTTTTTCAAAAAACTATATATTGACTTTGAAAAAAAATATTTCTACATTCACCTAAACTACAAAATATGTTAAACACCGAGTATAATTTAAACTTGAAACTTTTTTGAGTAGAATTTTGAGACTTTAGTTTTACCCGCTAGTTTAATTTTTTTTTAAGAAGAAGATTAAGTTTTCATTAGGAATTATATAGCTTTTTTGGAAAAAAACCATATTATGTGTCCAAATTAAGATTAAGATAGATTTTTGTGCTAGTATTAGTAATTTTAATTCACCTTAAAATTAGAAGTTTTGTCGCTAAAAAAAAAAAATTAGAAGCTTTGAAAAACTATTTACCCTATTGGGCCGTTAATAATTAATTGCCATGCATTGCAACTCTAGCAGAAGAATATTGGGTTACACAAATTCACTGAGCCCAGTAGAATAAAAATCTACATTAAAAAAAAAAAAAAAAAAAATGAGCCATGTAGAAATACCAAGAATCTATATCATTTAAAAAAAAAAAAAAAAAGAAACAGTTAAACCCCCAATAATCGAAGTAGCCACATAGTCAGTTCCTCCTCCATTTCCTTCCTACCAGAGTCCAAACACATTTAAAAAACCAGAGCATGAACTGCAAGCCATAACACACTCTTGGACTGCCTAGTAACCGCTGTGAATTTCACTTGTTCTGTTTCAGTAAAAAAAAAAAAAAAAAGAAACAGTTAAACCCTCCAATAATCGAAGTAGCCATATGTCAGTCCCTCTCCATTTCCTTCCTACAGAGTCAAACACATTTAAAAAACAGAGCATGAAACTGCAGCATACACTCTTGGACTCCTAGTACTGCTGATTTCACTTGTTCTGTTCAGTACTACTATTATTTATTCTATCTCCTCTTTCTTTCCAGGATTTAGCACCTCTCTTCTGCTCTTATCTTTCTCTGTTCTGTCTCGCTCTCAGCCGCCATCTTTGGCATCTTTCTATCTTTAGAAAGTTAGCATATTATTATTACCTCCGACAAAGATCAGTAAGAGAACTAGTACTAGATGAAGATCCAGTGTGACGTGTGTAGCAAAGATGAGGCGTCCGTGTTCTGCACCGCCGATGAGGCTGTCCTCTGTGACGCCTGTGACCACCGCGTCCATCACGCCAACAAGCTCGCTTCCAAGCACCAACGCTTTTCCCTTCTTCATCCTTCCTCTAAAAATTTCCCTCTCTGTGACGTCTGCCAGGTATTTGTCTATTTGCCTCTTTGTTTATCAGTTTTGCTTTAATTTATTGACTAATCGTGATTCAAAATTATTGCAGGAGAAACGGGCTTTCTTGTTTTGTCAACAAGATAGAGCAATTCTTTGCAGGGATTGTGATGTTCCAATACACAAGGCCAATGAGCACACGCAGAAGCATAATAGGTTCCTTCTTACAGGGGTTAAGCTTTCTGCCACTTCTGCGCTTTACATGTCATCTTCCTCTTCCGCATCAGACGTGAACAGCAGTGATCTGGTTCCTGATTCCAAGCAGTCTCAACACCAGCCCTCGGTTAAACCTGTGTCTGTCTCCCTACCAAAATCTAATCTATCTTCAATTGGTAAGACCTTACCTTCAAACTCAACTGTGAACAAGAATTTATCCTCAAACACATCCGTCAACCGAGATGGAGATAATCTGGTAATAAGTGATGGAATTGGTTCAACAAGCAGCATATCGGAGTACTTAATGGAAACGCTGCCTGGCTGGCAGCTCGACGAACTTGATTTCCCTTCTACTCCCTTTGCTGGTTTCTGTAAGGTTTGCGTCTATATCATTTCTCCCATTCTTCTTTTTTCCTTTAAGATTAGACTAGATGATATTATGATGTCCTCTTAATTCATTAGATCTGACTATTTTCTTTTGCAGCCTGATGACGACGGGATGTTGCCGTTTGTGGATACTGATATTGGGAGCAACAGTATTATTTCCCCTTTCTCGTCGGAAACCATGGGGATTTGGGTTCCACAAGCACACCCAACTCAACATTATCAGCAAATAGGAGGGCAAATTGGGTTGAAGGAAACAAAGGGCACAACGAACACGAAAGTTAATTACAGAAGATGGAGCGATGATGCATTTACTGTTCCACAGATCAGCCCTCAATCCACTGGGTCCAAGAGATCTAGTCCCTTCTGGTAGAACCCAATTGATCTTCTTGCTTTTGTTATAAGAGAATTATATATCAACAACAAGGCCTCATGCTTTGGATTTTTGGTATGAGTAAAGTATCTTCGGATCTGTTTTACCTTTCTCTCTCAGTTTGTTCCAATCCAACTAGTTTCTTTAATTCTGTTTTTTTATTTTTTTTGTCTAATTTTATTCTGCAGACATCTCTGTAAATATGAATGAAAATCACTCAAAATTTTCTTTTCTTTTGATTTTTCCATTCAACTATTGCTTGCCAAGTAGAGATCAGTTCTTTTGTACATTATGATGAACAAAAGATGCCGCCTTAACCTATACTTTTTGCAAAGATCCACAGAAAGAAATGAAAGGACAAACCGCCGTTTTGTTTTTTCTTTAAAGTGGCGAGACAAGTGACAGCTGAAAACACATATAATTAACAAAGATCAGTTTTAGTTATTCTGTGTCTCAAACTCAAGCACTGAACATTGTAGAAGATGATATAAAAATAATGATGATGACGAGGAAGTTGATGATACTGAAGTTGTGATAAGGAAGTGAGCTCTGCTTTTGTCTTTTTTTGCACATTCCTTTCTTTAATGGGAGCTCGCTACGAGGTTAGCCTACCCATCATTTCAGCCCCGAAATTGAGATTTTGTTTCTTGTCTTAGTTCAATTCCCAATATTTGATCCAAGTCAGTAATCTCGATCAGATGCGCGTATCCTTGTTTCTGGCGTAATCTTCATCTCACTGGTGCAAAAAGAATGGACTGTTCATAATGACCAAAAGAATGTAGGGAACCCAACCTTGTTATGGGGCAAGAGAGTTCGAATTGCCTGGGAGTGAAAAGGATGAATGTCTATGAGAAAGGGGATTAGTGTTCAGAGGTACAGGCACTAGGGTCGGTGACAAAAGCTCTATTGGTTGATGAAATCAAATGTTCCATGACGAATTTTTGTACCATATAACAAAATTATATTTTCAAAAAGAAAAATGAAAAACAACAAAATTATACTTTTTGTGTCCATAATGAAAGTCAATTCTACTGGAACATTCATAGCTTTGGCCTTTTGGGTATCGAAAATTCAAATCAACTCCATTGGAAATTTTGAATATTGTACGAAAAACATTAAGCTACCATAGGAGGTCAAGAAATAACGTGATGGTGGCAGGATAAGGACGGCGGAGGGAGGGATGCGAGAAATAAATAAAAAAATGTTAGCTTAATCAATTCAATAAACTTGCAAGTGGGATTAATGATTTAATGGTGAGACCCTTATTAAAAAAAATAATAATAAAAGAAGAAAAAAGCTTATGCTCAGTTTTGTTCTCAGCCAAATCATGAATTCCACTCTGGCAATTTTAAATATTTTGGTTAGGGGTGCATCCACTCACGTATCGAAGCTATTTTTTTAAATTTTCATTCTTCATACTTGATTTTCTCTGGTTCCTAATCAGTCCGAGGATAAAAATTATCTCCGAGTCCAAGTTTATTCTAACATTATCAAGGTGAGAATTAATTGTTTTCAGACGTGGTCAAATAACTTGAAATCAACAAATTCAGTTAAACTCTTGCAAAAAATATGTAGAAAAAGGTAGTAAAGCTAATTGCATATGGAAACTAAACAAATACTACTGATTTTTATAGTAGATAAAGTAACATGGATGGTTGGTAAAAAATAATTGTGCATGGACTAATACTATTTATTAAAACATAATATTCTTGGGCCAAGTTATTTTATCCGCTGTAGCCCAAATGGTTAGTTTCTAGCTGAATGAATTGTTCAAAGCCAACAAGCCCACGAGGCTATATCTGGCAATTGAAAGACCCATTAGCCCAAGCTATTAGGAGGAAACAAACCAACCAGGTTATGAGCCTTAGGAAACATATTTGTCGAAGGATATGAATGCCTAAACATGCCGTTGTTGTCATTTAAGTAACAAGATTAACAAGAAGACATAGCAAAACAATTGAGGTCACATAGCAATCATTAATCATTGAGTCTCATCTAAAAAGAAGAAAGAAAGAAAGAAAAAGGAAGAAAAGGTCACAAAATGGTAGCTAGCTACCATGCAAAAGAAAATTTCAGCACACTGAACACACCACCTGATTAAACTAAAGCAGCATCTAATCCAGCAAACATCAGAAAAGGAACTCTTGAATAAATCATCAGCCTATATGTAAAAAAATGGTTAAAGGAGAATAATACTTAATTAGCAAAAATGAACTAAGAACGTCGACAATGAGCTTTGCACATATGTTGGCAATCATAAAAGCAAGGTCCACCGCAGTGAAGAGGACAATCCAATCTCATCCCTTTACACCTTCCTCTTCCCATGCATTGAGCAAACTCTCCTAACTTGTAATCTTCATTGCTAAAAATTCTCTTCCTATGCACTCGCCTATTGTTAATGCCTCTTCCCTTTCCTTTCCGACCACCACATCCCCATTTATACCACCCGCCGCCTCCTCCTCCCCATCCCCATCCACTTCCACCTCCTCCGCCCCCACCTCCACCTCCACCACCACCACCACCCCCTCCCCACACCACATCCCCATTTATAGCCAGCCCGGCCGCGCCTCCGTCCCCATCCCCATCCACTTCCACCTCCTCCGCCCCCACCGTTCCACCTCCACCACCACCACCACCCCTCCCACCCCCATCCAAAACTTGCCGCACCGCCACCGCCCCCGCCACCGCCCCCCCCCCCACCACCAGCCGACCTCCTCTCCCCCGCCACCTCCACCTCCACCTCCACCTGCCACCGTCCGCTGTAATACCCACTATATTCTTTTCTCGTTGTTAAGCCACACTTTCAGTTGTGTTATGACTTCCTTGATCTCCACCCCCACCCCCACCTCCACCTCCACCTCCACCTCCACCTCCTCTGTAATACCCACTATATCTTTTCTCGTTGTTAACCACAACTTCAGTTGTGTTATGACTTCCTTGTGCACTGCTATCTAGAGGAAGGTTATTAGGAAGATTTAAGGAAGTGGCGTTAACTTGAGCAGTTCCGTTTTTAACTTGATCAGCTTTCAGCTCAACAACCACCATTGCTAGAAAAAACAAAGCCCATAACCATCTTATTGTAAGTGTCTCCATCTTCTCTAGCACTATGTACTTGCAATGTTCAAATGTTGCATTGCATATGCAATCTCTGGATATAGGTTTATATAAATGGCTTCCTGCCAGCTAGATTTTGGGCTCCAGCTGATCCAGATCTCTAAAAGTAAACCAATAACAATTAAGCTCTCTCTCAAAAGTGGGGAAAACATGCCTTAAGGCACACTTTTGTCCCCACTCTGCAACTTGCAAGGAGTCGGGCACACCACACATAATCCTCAAACCATAACCAATCCTGTTAACCAAAGGTAAAAGTATTCTTGACATTAAATAAGAATTTTGTAATAAAACGAAATTTAATTAGAAAAATTAAAGGATTTCCAAAACAATTAGAACCCCAGTTTAGGCATTCCTATTGCATCTAAATTACTAGATAAGACTATGATTTATTTAATGGATAAGACTTGCCTGCATTAACTAATTTCTGTTGTCTCTTGCTTGGAAATGACGTTTGAGATAAAGTGTGTACAGGAAGTTGCAGTGCATGGAGATTAGAGAGAGAGAGATGGTGGGGGTAGTTTGGTTTTACCTGTACATAATGTTTCTTGCAAAGGGATAAAAATTGATTCCCTTATGCTGGTGCCATCATGCATGCGTCCATATATATTCTATCTGCAAAATAAATTATTTTATACAAACGCTTTGATTATATACTACAGAATGAGCAAATAAGAATGTTGATTCATTAGTTTCTTTTAAAAGGCAGTAATAAGGATGGGATTGCAGAAAAATAATAGCAATTAGTAGCCATATAAAAAGTGCCTTTTCCAGGTTTAAGGCATTGTTTAAAACATACTATATTAATACTAAGAAACACTGCACTCATTCATGCCCCCATTATCTTATTGGGATCCCTTTAAATTTCAAGAACCTGCCTTTTCTTGTCAGACTTTGTTGTCTGTTTAATATTTTGGGGCATTATTATATAAATAAATCAGGTCAGGCTCCAGGCTCGAGCTACCAGAATATACAAAGCTTGGTCCTTTTGTATTCACCCTATAGTATCATGTTCTGAGCATAATAATCATTTGAGTTATAAGTGACTTCATTGATGTCAAAGATATATGCCTTACAATCGCAAAGCAAAACAGAAGATTTACTTGTGTACTAGCAGCATATCCAGAATCAACGGCTGGGAAATCTGTGGCCCTCATCACCGCACTTTTGAGAGATTATCATATAGGACTCGCACAATCCTTGCTTATGTGATCTTCCTGGTTGCAATTCTTGTTTGTCATGCCCAGTTTTTAGTATGAAAGAAGATTTTTATTTAGACTCCTTCATAAGCGTATATTTTAAACCAAAGTACAACGGTCCGTTGTAGTCTAGTCGGTCAGGATATTCGGCTCTCACCCGAAAGACCCGGGTTCGATTCCCGGCAACGGAATTATTTTTTCCCACCTAAAAAAAACACATATATAAAATATAATTACTTTTAAAAATAAATAATATTTTAAAACTCACAGTTCGTCGTCTAGGGTTTATATCCAGACTTTTGCTCCTAGTTAGGGTTTATAAAATTTATTCCTCACGATTATCTCCACTGCTTCAATCGTATTTGCTTCTCTAATCCACCATATTTGCACATCTCACAAATACCGCTTATTAACTAATCTCACAGAATGGGGAAGAAAAAGAAATTTATCGACAAGAAGAAATCTGCAACGTTCCAATTACTGGCCCGCGACTCAACTGATCCCAATTATGATGAAACACCGGGAAATGACCGAGTTTTCGTCCGAGTCGACAACAATCTCTACTTGCCGGACACTTTCTTTGACGGAGATAACCCCGATAGTATCTCCGTCAATGGCCAGAACGATGACGATCCGACTTCCATTTTCGCTGATGCGCCAGATGATGCCGACGATTGCGGAGATGATAATCATAGGGTTTTGGGTAGTTCGATGAAATATGTAGGGGGATTTGTAGGAGCTTCGTCTGCAGAAGCGCAGCCTTTGCCTGAGCGCGTGAGGAAGGAAATTTTGGAGCTAGGGTTTCCTGATGATGGCTATAATTATTTGCTTCACTTAAGGGAGATTAAGAATACTGGTGGTGGCTCATATTTTTATCGCAATCCTAAAGCTAATATTGATCAGCTTCCTCGCGATGTTAAGGTTGGTCAGATTTCGTTTTGTAGTCTAACTAATAGGTTCCATTACTGCTTTTTTTTTATTATTTTTTTTCAATGAGAAAAAAATACGGTGAAATTGATTGTCATTTGATTTTGACTTTTCAGGCCTATGATGCTTCAAGAGTTCGGGTATCTGAGGTGAAAACTGATGATACGAATGATAAGTCGATTTACAGTGTGGCGTCAAGAACTGTTGGAGTTAAGTTGCAGAGAGTGTTGGATCCTGAAGTAGCTGCATTGCTTGATGACAGTGATTTATCGCGGTTTGGTTCTGATGATGAGGACCTGGAGGAGGATTTTGTTGTTCGTGCAAATCTTCCTGAAGAAGGTGCTGATTTGGATGTCAACAATTTGATTGAGGAACCCAGTGAATATGTAGAAACTGCATTGGATAATGGCGCTGTAGACAAGGAAATAGAAGTAGGAAATGATTTTGCTGGGGGAAACCTGCGAGTTTGCCGTCCTCTTGATGAACAATTTGATATGGTGAGACACTGCTTGTTGAACAATTATTTGACATTTCTGTTCCTTTTTTAGTATGTAGGAATGCTTAAATCAAATTATGACAGCCAGATTATGAATTATTTTGGATTCTTATTTTACAAGGATTAAAAGGACGATTTAGGAGTCATTACCTAGAACTTTAACATATCTAAAGACACGTCTGTTCACCCCTTTTAATTATTTTGTTTGTTCACACCTTTCAATTATTTTGTTTGTTCACCCCTTTCAATTATTTTGTTAACATCCTGAAATCCAAAATTTAGATTTTTGTTTTCCTTCATAAGTATGTTCGTGTTGCTTTATGCTGCACCTAATGTGCAGGCATATATATCTTGTTTTCATGAATTCAGTCCTCTATTATAACAATATTTTGTGCTCTGCAGCTTGAACTTCAAGAATATGCCACAGATGATGAAGATGGCGAGTATGGTGGTTATGAAGCTGAAGAAGATGAATCTCTTGCTAATAAGCTCAACAATGTTCTTAATGACAGTGCAATGGATGACTTGGATCTTGGTGACAAATACGCAGTTCCTGCAGATTTGTTGCATGGCAGTGATAGACCAAAAAGTAAAGAAATTCTAGAATCAGCAGCTGATGTCATTCGCCGTTGTGCAGAATATGCAGAGAAGTATGAAAATGAGGATGATAATGAAGATGTTGTCATTGTCCAAGAAAGTAGTGATGATTCAGAACAGTGGGATTGTGAGACTATCATCTCTACATATTCAAATCTTGACAACCACCCTGCTAAAATTGAAGCACCAGGTATTGCTAGAAGGAAGAAGATAGCTGAAACTGTCTCTGGTGCTTTAAATGCCACCAGTCATGTGATAACCCTTCGAGGGAAAGAGAAGCTTCCTGTAGACTTCTTGCCTCATGGTATAAAATCTGATGTGGAAAAAGCAAAAGCTGTGCCTGGCTTAAGGACTGAGCCTGTGAAGAGGAAGCAACATGGCCAGGAATCAAAGGAGGAAAAGAAAGAAAGAAAGGTATATTTTTGCTGTTTGTTTGAGCCCTTTCATTGAGTGTCAGTTCTTTAGTCATTATGTAATGCATTTGGAACTGGTGAAAGATGAAAATATCCTTCCAGTTGTAAGTGTACTTACAATGACTTTTAGGCGAACAATTTTCTTATCCAAAAACAAAAATGTCAATTACAGTCTATTTCCTGGTTTAATCACATCATTTATTTGAACTTAGATTATGATGTTATAATTCTATATGCAGGCTGCTATAAAGGAGGAAAGGCGTGAAGCTAGACGTTTGAAGAAAGAAATGAAGGGGATCTACCGAGGTGAAGCACAGCGTGCTCAAAGAGTTGCTGCTATAGCTGGCCCATCATCAATTCATCTTTTATGAGTATGTTGATTATTGAGGTAGCTTTGTTGTTTGAATTCTAACAATTGAGTTGTGGATTTCTGGAATTTTATTTACCCAATTTTTCATTCTAATAGAAAGTACATTGAAAAGAGTTTGATGGTCTCTCCTTTAGGAGATGGAAAGTTTAAGCATGAGAATGACAAAATAACAAACGTATGCAAAAGGCAGCCTGACAGCAAAGGCTTTATCCATGTTTTTTATTCTAGGTTTGGGTAACCCCTGGCTTGAGCAATTGATACTCCAATTTGTTGTTGAAGTCTTGATCTCCAGAACTTTCTGGAGGTTTTCTCAGTGTTAAGAGAAGTCCAGTTGCTCTGCTTATTGGTTGTGATAGGAAGCCTAGTGCAAAGCCCTGAATTCTTGTGATTCCTCCACTGTTCGTAGATATTTATGTCGCGTAAACTAGTTGTGTTTTCTTAAAAACCAATTTGGGCTGAGGCCTTAGTGGACTTTTCCGGCCTCTATGAAGAATTAATTAGCTTTTCCATCTTCCAGTTCAACAATATTCGTACGTTTGCTGTACTGCTACAAGTAGATTGTGGGTGCCGTGAAATAAAACCTAGGTTGCCTTCAATCTAACCTGTTAATCATGTTTAGTTTGGACCCTTTCGTGAATAGTACATTTTATCTTTTTTACACACTGCAAAATACTGAACCAACTAAATCATAATCCACTCTACTTGGTGTCAATCCTCCATTCCTCTCGATCCAAGATACTCTGCAAAATAAAATAAATGAAATTCCTTGAGGTTGGCTACAGTTGAATTTGATTTTTCCTCTTATGTTCATATAGGTAAGTTGGTGTCAGATTATTGCATAAGCAATGTGGTATTCAAGGACGATTAACTCATCATTCCAAAGCCAACAGAAGGAGAGCACTTTGAACATCATTTTTACAAGAAAATGTGCCAAATCATAGCTCCGCCCTTGACTTTCAGGTAGAATATAAAGTTGCATAGTCAATCTTTTTTTGCTGTTCTCCTGTGAGAAAGGTTATTTGATAATGTTATAACACTGAAAATCAGTGAGTTTCTGAAGCCTATGGCTATCATCTTGATTTTTAGATGAGCACAAATTGAACTTACCTCCAGATTTTAATGTGTTTGAGATGAAATGGCTTTGGCTTAATGTATGCCATTAATTTGTTTTGTCTGTTACTTTTACATTGTGCCTAATATCTGTGTTTGAGATGAAATGGCTTTGGCTTAATGTATGCCATTAATTTGTTTTGTCTGTTACTTTTACATTGTGCCTAATATCTTCATATTCTTTTCTCTGTTTGCAAAGAGATTTTAATGTGTTTGAGATGAAATGGCTTTGGCTTAATTTCCGGTTATGCAAGTTGTGGTGTTTGGTAACAAACAATGTTGTTATTGTCATTTGCCCCATCTTACATAACCGGCGGTTAAAAGGAGGACAAGAAGAAGAGGAAGAGGAAGTAGGAAGCTAGTGTGCATAACACACAAAAAAAAAAAAAAAAAAAAAAAAAAAAAAAAAAAAAGGACACGACTACTAGACTCTTGCTCTGTCTCACACTAACAAGGACGCGATGGGAATGCTTCCACTTATTTAAACAGCTACATCATGAACTTTAATAGTAAATTATGTCATGACACAAAAAAAAAAAAAAAAAAAAAAAAAGGACAGACTACTAGACTCTTGCTCTGTCTCACCCTAACAAGGAACCAGATGGAATGCTTCCACTTATTTAAACAGCTACATCTATGAAATTTAATAGTAAATTATGTCATGACACTAATGAAACTAAACCATAATGTTTAGTGGAAACAAAAGCAACATTATGTGATAAATTCATGAAACTTCTCCGTGGGGAATTGGAGCAAAATCTCCTCCACCTAGTCTAGGTGGAGGATTCCAATAGCCATAATCTTCTTCCACATCTTCTGGGTGGATCTGGTAGTCTTTTCTATATCTATGTTTCCTCCGCTTCTTGCTGACGCCCTGCTTCTCATGGTCTCTGACTGGCTGGAAGGAAAGAGATGCTGGTGGTAATTTTGGCGAGAATGCCACTGATAATGGTTTTGATTCTGATTCTGTAATTAGCAGCAGTATCATTATAGCCATCGTTGTCATGTATAAAATGTGTACAACTGACCTCCCGTTCAAGATTGTCATGCTAATAAGTATGACTCTGTCTGCAACTGCTTTTCTTTGAGCCTCTCATGCAGTTGTTCACTAACTCTGCAATTTAATGTAATAATTTATTAATACCTGTGGTTTATGATAAATCTGGAGATTAAGCTGTCTTTGCATTAGCTAGAAGTAGCGCTTAAAATGAACTTGTTTCTCTCACACCCTGTGCATGACATGACTTATTTCTTGCACGTATATTTATTGAAGGGAACTTGGTCACTGGCCTTGCAGCATGCATATGATGCCCATCTTATCCCTTAATAACGGGCTGGTTTCAAAGAAGAGAAGAAAAATTCCTAATCAATAAGATTACTTTCATTCATGAGCTAAATGGATATAATTATTATGCCTTGATGTCTTGAAGGTCAATTTATTTTTTCGATCATCTGATAAAAAATCATTAAGCTAAAATTTGTTTCTTGCATGATAGCGTTGACAAAAACGAGTCAAAGTAACAATCATAGGTTTTCCTTTTATATTAAAGGTTAATGTTGGTGTTCATAATTATTGTAACAGAAGGGAAGAATAATAATGATACTTAGTCTTTGACCTAATGCATCATAAAGTTGGTTAGGAGGTGCTTCGTGTGTGTATTCCTTAATAAATAATTAAAAAGTGCGACTCATCTGATTTGCTAATATATGCTGAAACTATTGGAATATCCGATTCAGATTACAATAAATACTTTACTTTAAAAATATTTGTTTGAATATGTTTTAACCTTTTATGAAAAAAAATAAATATTCTGTTGCTGGTAGTCCGACCGGTTCTCTCGGTTGAAAGAACCGGTTGGACTACGAGTATCCTAAATATTGACATTTATATGATAGTATAATCACCCTAAAAATTTCCTAATAATGGTTATTTGTATAGTGGTCTAATCTAGAACGAATATACCGGGGATATATATATATATATATATATAAACAAATAAATAATAGAAACTGAAAATAACACTTGATATTATTAATAATTTTATTTAATAGTTATTACAAAGATCCTGGTCAGTATAAACTTCGAACAACAATCATAATGCATAAGCTTCATAAAGGAAAATGGCAACTTTACTGCCAAGTATTAGGTCCCAACTACCGGTAAGTGTACTATTTCAAGCATTACAGCTGACAACTAATCCAACATACATTATCTACTAGACAGCTACCAAAAGTTTCAAAAAGAAAATGAACCTTGTCCTGCTCGCACTTATGAACCCCTCATTGATATGTTACACACTTACATGTACCATAGTTCTGTCTCTGTCTTATTTGTGAGACTGATGACACCATTAAGATGCAAAAAAACTAGAATACATTCCTCCATTTTGCAATGTTGGTTTCATTCGAAGTTCCAGCAATCAAACAATAAATATCCGAGATTTAAGGTGCTGGATCAGAAAGGATACAAACTCACACGCACCCAAATCATATAATGTTTAAGGGTAACAGGAAATGTACAGGTATCATACAAAATTTCAAACATCTATTTTTAACATAAGGATGAAAAAAGAGATGTCTACAACCTATTGGAAACAGGATCTGAGAGATCAAACAAATGACTTATTGTACAAAGTGGTGTTAATGACAACTGAATACATAAACAAGCTAATATAATTCACACAATACAAGAATTTTATGACAGGATAGTACAAAATCAACAATATATCCTTAAGTGAATGTGCCATCAATCACTATGAGATTGCAAAGTAAAACACATGCACTTATCTTTCATAGCTTCAGACTCACTTCCATACTCTTTGAATTTGTACTCATCCTGCTTAAAAGCAGGAGGCACCTTTCCTTCACTATAGCACTGATTACATAGACTAAAATGTGATTTCATCTCCTTAAAGCGGGAACCAATAATTGGGTAGCGGCAGACTGAGCAGACGTGGTTTCCATGGCGATTCCTATCTCCAGTTTCAAGCTTTACTAGAGTTGACATGATACCAAAACCCCAATCAGGATCATCAAACATCACAAGAAAATCATTGAAAGATACCATTGAAGAGTCCGTTTCCCCATGAACTTCTAACATTTCACTAAGACCATGAGAAGGAACATAAATAGCTCTCAGCAACTTTATATAACCAACAGCATCAACCTTTTTAATCTGAGAACTACCTTCATTCGCAGGACGCCACAAAAGTGCATCAAAAGCTATCCGTTTCCGCTTGTCAGGACTGCCACCACAAATAGGAGCTAGAACAGCGTAAAACATGCCCAAATCTACCCTGCCTGAGCCTGTGTCGTCCAAAACAGAGAGAATCCTCTCATTTATAGCCTTGACAGCCCCCTGAAAAGTTTCAGGCTTCAGGAAATTAAGTAACCTCTGGAGGATTTCCTCCAAGTTAGGTTTTCGTATTGATTTCTCTGGAACACCACCACCAGAGTAAGATACTGGCACATCGGTTTCATTCATTTCCTTCTTCAAAAGCTCCACATCACAACGACCCAACCTGGTAATCCTTTGAAAAGTCCTAATTTGAAGAGCATTGGCTAAGTCCTGTCTCAATGTAGTTTTTCCACTCACTGTCCTAAATTTTGAGAGTTCCACAACAACAAAAGCTCCCTCCCCATTAGCACCTCCATTTGGCTTTACTTTCTTTTTCTGCAGCTGCTTTAAATGTGATATTGCATCATGCAGTTCAACCCTATTTGTCATTTTCAAGGCTTCCTTCAAAGCTTTCTTGGCTTCCTCAGTTTCACCAGCCCCCAACAATGAGACGGCCTTATTAAGCTGCGCCCGCCAATGGTTTGGCCACACGGCTAACACCCTGGTATACATCTCTGAAGCTCTCTGAAATCTACCCAAATCCATGTACAGCCCACCCAAATTATACAAAGCATCCACATGACTGGGTTTCAAATCGATAGCCTTTTGAAAAACCTCTATAGCCTTCTCATCCTCACCCATGGCATGCAATGCAGAAGCCAGATCACAATGGGCATCAGCATAATCCGGCTTCATAAAGATGGCCTCTTCTAAGGCCTTAACAGCTGCCATATATTCGCCTACCCCGAAGAGAGCACTACCCAAAAGTTTCAGAGCTCTAAAATGAGTGGGACAAAGAATAGCAGCTTCCCTATAATATTCACAAGCACTTAAAACCATACCTTCGCCTTCTAGTGCAATCCCAAGATTGACATATATCTGAGGGAGTAAGTAAGCCCACTGACTCCCACCTGCCTCAGCTGCCTCAAGCGCCAACAAGAACTCCTCTTTAGCTTCCTTATATCTCCCAAGAACATACAAGCAATTCCCAGCTCTAAAATGTGGCCTAACATCCATAGGCTGCAACTCACAAGCTCTCTTAAAACTCACCAATGCCTCCTTAAACAACTGGTGCTCATACAAAACCCTCCCAATCGCCATATGCCCATCAAACGCCTCATCTCTTGATCTCGCCCCATCAGCACGGCTTCTTAAAACCCCCAATTCCTTGACGAAAACTGCATAATCATGCCCTGACTCTTCCCAAAATATCCTCTTATCCGAGATCTCCGAAGATGGGCCCAACTCCCTCGACCAACCAGCATCCGAGTACGCATCAAAATTGTCACCTTTCAATTTCCCATCTTTTGCTTGCTTGGCTTTTAATCTCTTCACCAAAATCTCCAAATCATCGACAATTTTCCATGTATCATCAAAAACAATCCCATGATTAGGAGAAACCGCCCACGCAGCAGTCCTCTGCTTCTTCTGCGACTCTATAGTCCTTTCATCCAAAATTGAAGAGGAAGACGCCTGAGATGCAATCGAGATCCCTTTACTATCGTCCATATTAAGCTCGAGCTCAAGCGCGTCGAAGTCTCGATCAACATCACCGGCTCCGTCATCGTAAGTACGCAGAAGACCATCGTAGGTTAAACCTTTCTCGCCATCGATGAACTCGCCGTAAGTACGAAACACTTCATCAAGAATAGCGTTGATTTGCTCATCGCTGAATTTCACTCTAGGATTCACAGCGACAACCAAAGCCGCCATTTCTTCTCTGTTGAGTCCTCCATCTCGATTAGAATCGAATTTCTGGAAAATTCGCTTAACTTTCTCTGATCTGCTCCCTCTCGTTGTCATTTGGCAACTCGTTTAGGTTTCCGGTTTGTAAACTGGAGAGTGAACGAGAAGATGATAATGTGCCTCTCAATATATTAGATAGATAATGTTACACTGTTGAGCTGTTAATTCCTTTAATTAGGGTTTTTAAATTAGGGGATTATAGCCAATGTTGATAGCAATTCCTGGTCAGCAGAAAAGGAAAAGGTTAATGGGGAAGGAGACGAGCATAGGGTAGATTTGTCCCTTAGTTAGGAGTGATGGAAGGGGTTATCGGTCCCCACAATACAGCGGTCTGTTGCATTAGTATTTAATTTCTCATTTTGGGTGATTGATTTGCTTATGGTGTGGCATTAGAAAAAGAAAGGTGGGATGGATTGCCAGCTGGCTTACGTGGGTGCAACTATCATTTCCTTACGTGGACTGGCTCTGGCTTTGGCTAGGCAAAACTGCAGTAGAGATTAGTTTTTATAAATATTATATTTTTATTTTTATTGATAAATATAAATTCTAAACTTAAATTTTAATCATTTAACGAGCTTGCCTCGGGCTGGGCTTGAACCTGTTTACAGACCTTTGGATGATAGAGCTGGAAACACTTCCCGTCTTGCATGCTCATTCAACGGCGTAATAATATTTGTTGAAATTTAATATATCCATAACATAACTAATTTATTCTATCTGCTCTGTGTAATAAATATTAATATGTTGATTGAATGTGAATAAATGGAAGGCCGGTCCATAATATTCTGTTGCACATCAGAAACCAATGGAGGACTTGTTCAGTGAATTTTAAATATAAGAAATATATAAAACCTTAGCCGAAATAAATAAATAAATAAAAATGCCTTTGAGGTTCAAAATTCAAAGGATGCTGAGATTTTTTTTTTTGGCAAACAATTATTTGTAAACAGAAAACATGTGGCTGAATGGTGAAAACCTGAAAATTTGACGCTGAAGTAACTTTAATTTGCATGATCGTACTCAGATAACTTTTAAAGGATAGAAACTAGAAAGTAGAAACTACCGTTCAACTCACCAACAGGTCCAAAATTACTTATCTCCCAAGCTGAACGACTCTGTCGTCTGTTAAAGACTATGAATTAAAAACTAATGTCTTACAAAAATATTGAAACGATTTTGTGATAATAACAACTGAACGACCGACGTCGGTCCAACCATAACAGACAACTCGCCAGTTTTTAAAAGGTACGGGTAAATGCCTAGAAACGACCCTAAGTCGTAGAAACGGCAAATTGGAAACAACTTTTTAAACTACACTAGCGAATGAACGACTGGCCATTCAGAATGGCCACCCATCGTTTCAATTTTTACATAGCATGCTTAATTTAATAAAGCAATTGGAATCTGTAAATGTCGTTTTCAAATGGTCTATTGCCCATCACACAACGTTTTAATTAAAATTTTTGTGATATTTCAAAGCCACCTAATGTTATGTTATATGTTTTCCCTGAAATTATTCACAAATGTATTAATCGGAATAAATAAAATACCCTAAAACAGCAAAAGAAAATTTGTTGTCATTTTTAATAAATTATAATTCAAATTACTTCGTTTGGATGCTTACTTGCAATTTTCTCAAATTTCCCTGAAAACTAATATTTCCTACCATAATTTTTTTTTTTTTTTAAGAAAAGCAATTGCTAATATAATGCTGTTTGCACATTTGTGTTGTGAACACTTTGAAGGAAAGCCATCAAATTTTTGTTTTGCTTCAAATAGTAGTTTTTTGAAATTTGAGTAAATTTTCAGGTGAAAGGCTGTAACATTGTGTCAAATGTCAGTTAACAAAATTAACCGTTAAAAAAGAAGTCAACACTATATTTTACCCATTCCCCAACTAAGAAAGAAAAGAAAACGAAGGTAAATAATAGATTGTGGTATTAAAATTAATTGGGTAATATTATTTATTACCATACAATACAACTAATACCAATCCCAGATGGCTTTTATGCGCGGGAAAATCGTGGAGGCTAAAACGGTAAGTTGATCCTATTTTAGTTTATTTCTAGTGGCTCCTCTGTAACTGATCCAATTGAAAGGGAAAAGAGAAGGGAGAGAGCGAGAGGAAGAGAGAGAGCAACGGCTCTGTCGTCTCCTTCCATTTTTACAGTTTCAGCCATTTCTTCTCTCCTCTTTCCCTCGTCATCTCCTCCCTGGGACATAAACTAACAGAGAGAGAACAGAAAAAGGTCTCAGTCAAAACTTATCTGATTTTCAATCGGTTTATTTGGCTGATTGATCTGTTTCTGCTCTTTCTCTGTTCGTCTCAAACAGATAATAACCGAGACGAAAACGGAGAAAAAAAAAGAGAAGAAAACAGATTGAAGTATTTTGTGAAATTAAAATACATACAAACATACTACTTAATACATCAGAAACCAAAAATCTATTAAATTGAGTACATTTGGTTGTTTGTTTTGTGAAGAAAATGAGTCAAAAGGGACGAGACGAGACAATGAGCATTGGCTCATCAATGGGCGGAGACGAGTCAATGTTTGGGGATATACAAGGAGAAGAGAGAATTTTTGTTTGTGTTAGAATGAGGCCTTTGAACGAGAAAGAAATTGCGAGACACGATGTCAGTGACTGGGAATGCATTAACGATACCACCATTATTTTCAAGAGCAACATGCCTGACCGCTCCATGGTCCCTACTGCTTATACATTTGGTATGCGTTCTTCCCCTACTTTTACAGAGAGGCTGTTTCATAGGACCTTACCATTACATCGATACCACCCTCAAGCCAATTGCTTCTATAATTATGTCTTTTTTTTTTTTTTTTCCATGGTCCCTACTGCTTAAAATACATTTGGTATGCGTTCCTTCCCCTACTTTTAACAGAGAGGCTGTTTCATCAGGACCTTACCATTAATCGATACCCACCCTCAAGCAATTGCTTCTATAATTTATGGTCTTTTTTTTTTTTTTTTTATTAGACAGAGTAATATGGAAGTGAATGCCCACAAAGCAGGTATAGACGAGGGAGGAGCCCAAAGAAATTGCTCTTAGCAGCATTATTATAATTATGTCTTTTTTTTTTTTTTTTATTAGACAGAGTATATGGAAGTGAATGCCCCACAAAGCAGGTATACGAGGGAGGAGCCAAAGAAATTGCTCTTGCAGCAGTTAGTGGCATTAACTGTGAGTTACCTTCTTGTTATTGTTTAATATTGTAGCTCTGGAGGGTCTGATGAAATTTTTAACACTGGTTAAATTGTATGTATATCCAGCAAGTATTTTTGCATATGGGCAGACAAGTAGCGGAAAAACATATACAATGAGTGGAATTACTGAATGTGCCATGGCTGACATATATCAATACATAGAACAGGTATATTGTGAAAAGAAAAATGTAAAAATTAGTTTATATATTTTATACACACACACACACACTTCATAGAACATATGTTTCTGAAGCTTATCCCACCTTATGCCCTGGAATACTTAACGAGATGCTTTTTGTTAAATGTACATAAATCACAGCACAAGGAAAGAGAATTCGTATTGAAATTCTCTGCCATGGAGATTTACAATGAAGCTGTCAGAGATCTTCTTAGCGCAGACAGTACTCCGCTTAGACTCCTTGATGATCCAGAGGTGATACTGTGCTTTTTTTGTTTCCCCAAATCTGAATATTTGCTGAGAATGCAACAATTTTTTTTTTTTTGGGGAAGAATACACAAAATATAACAGTTTCATTTCCACAGAAAGGGACTGTTGTCGAGAAACTTATAGAGGAGAGTCTAATAGATTGGAACCACTTTCAAGAGCTCCTTTCCTTGTGTGAAGGTAATGGCATCAAGATAGAGAAAACTGCCTTTATGTATGTTTACTTTGTTTTTACCAAATGAGACTTACTTGCAGCTCAAAGACAAATAGGAGAGACCACTCTGAATGAGAACAGCTCCAGATCTCATCAAATTATAAGAGTGGTAGGCTTCTTGTGTATCACACTTATCTGTTACTCTATTTTTTTTATCTCTCTCTTTTAATCAAATGGTGATACCTCCCAGACAGTTGAAAGCGCTGCCTATGAATATTCAAGAGCTGCAAATTCAAGCACCCTCACAGCTACAGTGGTATGGAGTAATTGTCCCCACCCCCTTTCCTTCTCTCCTCTTAATATTATGATACCAAGTGTCTTGTCGGACAAAATTTTTCAGAAAATATAGAAAGAAAACTTAAGTTGGTTTTGTTCGGTAGAATTTTGTTGATCTCGCTGGGAGCGAGCGTGCTTCACAGACACTCGCAGCTGGTGTGAGATTGAAAGAAGGTTCCCACATAAATCGCAGTTTACTGACCCTGGGAACTGTAATTCGTAAATTAAGGTGGGAATTTTCAAATTTTATTTTAATTGGCAGTCAAAATTTGTAAATCAAGAACAATGGCTGGTACATCTTGTGTTATGACAAAGCATGCTTCAATGATTAATGCAGCAAGGGAAGAAATGGACACATACCTTACAGAGACTCTAAACTAACACGCATACTGCATAACTCATTAGGAGGCAATGCTAGAACTGCCATGATCTGCACGATAAGCCCATCGCGCAATCATGTTGAGCAAACAAGAAACACCCTCTTGTTTGCAAGCTGTGCCAAAGAGGTGACTACTAATGCACAGGTCAATGTGTTGATGTCAGATAAGGCTTTGGTAAAGCAATTGCAAAAAGAACTAACAAGGCTGGAGAGCCGTTTAATGGACATGGGATCAATATCTGCCACAGGTGATACTGCTGCATTACTAAGAGAGAAAGAAGTTCTGATTGAACAGGTTAATACTCATTATGATCATTAATTTTTATTGGATAAAAGCCATACTAATTGTGGCTGAATTTTTTTACTTTCGTTATGCCAAAGCTGTTGATACTGCTTTCTCTTAAATGAGGATATATTGCAGATGAAAAAGGAGATTAAAGATTTAACTTGGCAGCGTGATCTTGCACAAGCTCGTATTGAGAGTTTGCTAAGATCAGTTGGAGAGGATCGACTTACAAAAGCAGAAGAAAATTCAGCATCGGAATCGTCAGAAGTGATCAATCCTGAAGGTGTTTTAAGAAACAACAAGGATTTTGATGACCCCAGTGTTGTTACTCCTTCCAGACATCTCCTAGATATTCCAGATCCTGAAGATAATTTTCTGCTGGATGACAGCACCCCACAGTTTTCTGGGCTTGATTCATGCCGCGGTTGGGAGAACATTTCTCCAAGAAAGGATGAAGAAACTGAAGATATCTGCAAGGAAGTTCGATGTGTTGAAGCAGAGGAAGCCAATATGAACAGTAGAGCAGAAGGTGACATGTCGTTATCTGGTTCTGAAGAAAAAGAGGTAAATTTACAGTTGACCACGATAGAATCAATGGATGAAGGTGCAGCACCACCAATGCAGGATGAAGATAAAGAGTTGAATCATAACGATTCATTTGACTCTTATGATTCTCTGAAGCGAAAAATTCAGGAATTGCATGACACCATCAGCCGTTTACAATCTCCTTCGAACGAAGCAGGTGCTTCTGGCTCTAAAGGTTTGACATGGATTAGAAGCAGAAGTAGGAAATCAGTTGTTATGACTATTCCATCTGATTTTTGGTCTCAAGAGGAAGAAGAGGATGAGGATACACCACCTGCTGCACCCAAAGAAGGATCTTCTGAAAAACCAGAACCTGAAGAGGACTCTTTTGAAAGACCAGAACCTGAAGAGGAATCTTCTGAAAAACCAGAAGCAGTAGAACAAAAGCTTCCAGAAAAAACAGAAGAAATAGAGCAAAAACTTCCAGAAAAACCGGAAGAAATAGAGAAAAAACTCCCAGAATTAAAGCATTATATAAAAATTGAAAGTATGTGTAGGAAAGATTCAACAAAATCCATTAGTAGTGATTCTGCAGAAGAAGAAGAAGAAGAGACTATCAAAGAGATAGATGTAGATGTAGATGATACTACCAGTGTCCTTGATTTCGTTGCAAGAATGAACGTAATGTCTAACCCTCAATCAGAGGAGCAAATTGGTGATGTTCCGGTGAGAAAGCAAACCTTTCACACACTGTTTTATTCTCTTTGTTCTCTAGTTCATATGCATCTCATGCTCTTCTAGGTTCCGGAAGTACCAACTAGGGCTGTCCCGAGGAATATCAGAGATGGAGGTGCAGAGAGAGGCCATGGCAATAGGCAAAACCATTCAAATTGGGCCGTAAAATTTGAAAGATATAGAAGAAAGATAATTGACCTATGGGTCAAATGCAACGTCCCATTGGTCCACAGAAGTTATTTCTTCCTGCTCTTCAAAGGAGATCCTTCTGACAATGTTTACATGGAAGTAGAGCTTAGAAGATTGTACTTTTTGAAGGACACATCTGCACGTGGGACTAACGCAATGATAGATACTAAGATAGTCTCACCAGCCTCAAGGTAATCTTGCTAATCCACACAAATAGTAAGAATTGCAATAGCACGAGCAAAATGCAAATCCAGTGCAGAACGTGTAATAATTATTTCTAACATTCTTTTTTCTGTGGATAGTTTGAAGGCTCTGAACCGCGAAAGGGAATATTTAGCGAGACAAATACAGAAAAAGTTCACAAAAAGGGAAAGAGAGGAACTTTACCTGAGGTGGGGTATTGACTTAGACACGAAGCAGAGAAGCCTACAGTTGACACGCCGTTTATGGACGGACACAAAAGACATGAAACATATGAGGGAGAGCTCCCTGTTTGTTGCTAAGTTGGTTGGGTTTGTAGAGCCACGTTATGCCCCGAAAGAGATGTTTGGACTCAGTTTCATAACCCCGTCATCAACCCAGAAATCTTCCAGCTGGAGAGACAACATGTCCTCACTATTATAAAGCTTGTTGGAGGGAGAGAAGTTTCTCTGACCACCCATCTGATGCAGAGTTGAAGGCTCTTTCTTGGCAGTTTTACCTTGCATAGTTGAATGTTTTGAGTTCTCTTTTTGAATGTTTTGAGTTCTCTTTGTTGTAAAATTTAAAAATACGGTTTCTAAGCTGACTAGAGTCGCAGAATTTTTTTTTTCACCCGTTGATTCTGCTACTTTAGAACATACATAGGAGCTAAGGAAATATGGAATTACTATTATTACCTTGTTTGCAGCCATTAGCTTCTATAGAGGTGCCGAGTTAATAAAATTGAATTATATTTTTTTATTTTTTAAAAAACAAATGTTATTTATTTTTACCTGTTTATGTAAAAATTGAAATAATGTTTGATCGAGTTGACAACATTATTCAATGTTCTCCATTGTCTGTGCCAGCTAGCAATTGCGCTGAAGAAAAATTAAAGCCCAGATATAATGGAAAACAAGCCGAATTGATGAATTTTGCTACAGCTAGTCACGCTCACAGCAACAGAAGCATATATGAAACTAACACTTACGTCGGAAGAAAATTGCCTCCAATGAAATTATTGAAACCTACAGCAGAAAAAGGAATTACATTTACAATTACATGGTGCCGTCTGCCGTGTTTTACATCATTATTGCTCCCTCAGTAATTTTCCATTCCGAATTTGAAGGTGACATCTCATATCTAGTTGTGTAGGTCATGGTGTTTGAAGCATTGTTCTCTGGATGAACTGCATCCGTTAAGCACGTGGATTCTTTGATAGTTGCTTCCACTACAGCATGGCGCCCATCTAGAGAAACAGTCACGCTGTCAATGGTCAGGTCCAACAGAGTATAGTCATATACCCAGCCAAGTTGTGCTATTTCGGCTGCTCGATCAGTCCATGTTTTCAACATCTGATCATCCAAAACCTAGTAGTAGTTCTCATGGTCAGAAGTATGAAGACAACAGGAGGCACGATGATCAAGCAAAAAAATAAACACCATTTCTTTTACCTCGGGCAATTTCTCTAGAGAGTGATCAGGACCAAAAGCCTGAGATTTTATCTTCTGCCACTTACGAACTATACCCTCTGCGGACCTTGCATCCATTCTGGGCAATTCTTCGACAGATTTTTCATCTATTGCCAATCCTGTTCAATGAGTCTAAAATTAGAGTTACCTTTACAGAAAAAAGGAAGTTTCATTTGAAGGAAAAAGGGTAGGTTCTTGCTACAAACACAGCATGATACGATCAAATATGTGATTAGTATCACAATATGCATGTCATAAAAATAAAGAAACAAATCTTATCTGATATCCATCAATGCTATATCATCCACTAAATGCATACTACGATCTGGAGAAAGTTGATTACCACTTCTACTGCAGAAAGCAGGTATAGTCAAGATGGTAAAGGTCTTCAGGTGCTCTACTAAAAATTAGAGGGCAAATGAGTAGTTATCCAACCACTAGGAAGTAAAAAATATCATAAAATCGAGTTGAATGGTTGAACTAAGATTTAAATAGCTGACCATAAGTACTATATCATGATTTGATAGGTTGGACTATTGTAAATGGATTTTTAAATCATACCCACACTGATGGTGTTGACGGCCATTGCTGAACCAGTTTCATTACGTCGAATAAAGGATCCATTTGAAGTGGGTAAATATTTCAAGCCCAGCAAAGTCATTAGTCCAACAGCCACACCGGCACACATGATCTTCACACTTGCATCTTTTATTCTATCAGTAATCAATTCTTCTTCAGGCACTTCACCATAAGTATTTTTTCCAGAACTTTCAGCTTTGATGGCGGCATTATCTGGATCATACTCTTCCACAGGCTCTTCTGCCTCTACTTCAGAAAGAGAATAATTCACTCCAGCATTTTCTGGGAATCCTATATTCTCACCCTTCTTATTGAGAGGAAACACCTTCCGCAATGCCTGAATTGCACTAGCCTTCACATGGTCAATAACAGCAGTAGCCTCAGCACCAATCCGTGCTATGGCTGCTGCTGCTGCCAAGGGTGAATGACCTCCTCTTTCTAAATATCTCAAGACAGCAGGATCATCATAATAGTCTCCAAGCTTGATCTGTATGTACTTAGTGTCTCTAAATCTAGGAAAAACCTCTTCCATCAACCACGTCTCCAACAGTTTACAAAGTCCACGAAGATCCTTGAGATCATCATCCTTTGAATTTTCCATCACAAAATCAACAACTTCTGGGTTTCTGTAAGGTGAAGTAGGACTGTCTAAGCCCAACCATGCACGACACTCATCAACCTCCCCTACAAGAAGTGAACAAAGGCCCCTCTCCAAAGCAAAGTCCATCTCGTGGTTTTGTTTGGGACTATAGACAGGGACAGCATTCCCTTGAACTGTTAGCTTCATTTGAAGCTGTTGGAATAGCCTATCAGCATCTGGGATAAGATGAGGCTTTTTACCAACAAAAGCTTGAGCAACAAGGGCAAGTGCCACTCCATATAGTTCAAAATGTTCTGGTGGAATATGCTTTGGTGTGGCTACAAATTGATCAACCTTCCGTATGAAAAATGAAAAGGAAAAATTATTAACAATATCATCACAAAACATAATAAGGTAATGGCAGGCAAGCTGATCCATACTACCTGCTCAGAAGCTGTCATACGCAAGAAGGCCTCATTCATGAAATCTTCCCGCGTGAATCCTCCAGCAACAGGTGCAGCCCCTCCTCCACCAACAGCCCACAATATATTGCACACTCCTTGGAGACCCTCTGCTCGTTTCATCTTGTATTCATCATCAAGTGGTAAGGCTAGAAGTTCTAGGACATACCGAGGAGTGATCTCCTCTAATGTCTCATCAATTTGTGCTTGTAAATCCGGTGCAAGGCTGCTGGCCCCTTCCTCCTACATCCATGTAAAAAAGAAAAATGTAACTTAATATAACTACATTAAACAATGAAACTTTTAGTAAATGTAACGCAATACCTGCAAGAGTTTCAGCGCTCTCTCGAGCATCTCACAACCTCTAATAAAATCCGGAGGGTTCAATGCCATAGCATCTCTTGACATATCCACGTAAGCAAGCGCCATAGCCAGCACGACGTCTTGCTTGAATGACTTAGGCAGCCTCTCCCTAAGCAAATCCTCTCCAATTTTATTAACAACCTCATTCTCCCCTGATTCTTGCAACAAACACAGAGCCCCAGGAACCTACAACAATGCCCATTCATTTTCCACCTTTCCTTTAATCCTAAAAAATTAGCAAAATAAAGAGAGAGTGACATACCTTTTCCCACGGCACTTGAGTGATAATAGTGTCGTGCTCGTCATCTATGAGGCCTTGATTGTATTCTCTTCTTGATTCAGGGTCCGCTAAGGTTTCACATGCGGCTTGGAGAATCTGTCTACGGCTAATAAATACGTCTTGACTGAATCCGTATTGAGGAGGTTTAGAAACCTTAGCTTCATAAGCTCTCTTTATGCCATCTCCAAGGAAATGTGTCTCAGCTCCTAACACCTTTCATATAGTTGTAATTTTAGTCTATCTGAAAATCCAAATTCCTTAGAGTGCGAGAGGAATTAACTTACCTGATAGAAATGGAGAGGAATCGACACGTAGCGCTCAGGTGGGGAAATAAGGGGAGGGGAAGGAGGAGCGAGGGTGGCGGTGGAAGAGGAGAGAGAATTATGGAGGTCGGAGGCGTCGGCTGTAGTGTTAAAAAATTGGAAGTCGCCGAGGAGGCGATCGGCCCATCTGCTGGCGGAGCAGGTGGTGGTGGTAATAAGTTTGGAAGATTTTCTGGGGATTATTGGAGGAGCAACTAGCCTTGGAGCACCAATGCCAATGTATCTCATGGCCTCCATTGTAACTGAGTGTGGCTAAACCCTCTTTCCCGGGGTTGAATACTTACTATTACGAGTTATGAATCACTGATACCGATGGAAAGCTAATGGTTGGTAGGAAATAGCAGCGTTTTTTATTCTTTCTTTGGAAAATATTGCAATATTTTTAACATTCGGTTGTAGTCTAGTCTAGTTAAATATTCGGCTCCCACCAGAAAGGCCCGGGTTCGACTACAGGCAATGGAAAGTTTTTAAAATCTTAAAGACAAAGCGTATGTTGGGCTTTGGGCCTCATTTTAGAAACCTACCATTTTTGCTTGACCCATCCCACATAGGAGGCCTAGGAGACACTATTCGACGTGTCGTGCACAATGACAATCTGGTTAGAATTGGGAATGTGATAGGACACTGAATAATTATCATCTTCTTTGAGGGCAAATATTTATTGGTTACGAAGGAATGTTAATTTTTTTATTTAATTTCACTCCTTCCGGATGGCCAAATAATTTGAGCACATTGTGGTAATGAGTTCGAAAGTTTTACTGGGATGATTGGCTCAGCAACGTCTCATGGCTTCTATTTTAACTGGTGTGGCTTAAATGCACCTTTCTAAGGGTTTTAGTGCGTTTGTTTTTGAGTAGGCGTGTAAATGATCGGTCTGGTTTCATTGTTGGATAGAAATTTTTTGAACTTATGTTCTAAACAAAGCCAACGGTTGGATTAATTGCTGCCATTTTCTAACCTCTTGTTTAAGTCTGGAATTGCTCTTGCACCCCTGAAATAGTTCAACTAGAAACGCTGTGCCTTTCTAAAAGAGCCATTGGCTGTTACATCATTGGACAAAGGACTAGCTTTGTCGTTTAGCCACATAAGTCGTGTGGGTTAGCAAATGGTTTGGTCAACTAAACCGACTTAATTCAATTTAGGTTTATAAGTATAATTTGATTCAGTTTTGAGTTTTGAGTTTTGATAAATTTCGGTTGTTGATACAATATTATATGTATATAGTTAAATTTTGTATTCATTTGATTATGTTAATTCAATTTGTTTGATTAATTTTAATATTTTAATTCAGTTCAATTCAATTCAATTTGTTATTTTTAAATTTGAGTTTTTTTTTTTAATCTATTAGAGACTTTATAGCCAAAATATCACTGCGGCTACATAAAAAGGGCAGCCATCCCATATTGATTTACCAAATTGATGAAAATTTAAAAATTCCTTAAATTTAATAATTGATTAAAAGGTTATATAGATTTAAATACAAGTACGAGATACAAAAATCACACAGTATAAGCTAACAGTATTTGATTATATCTTAACAAATACATAATCAAATACATGAGCAACTAATTTGCGAAGAATACGGAGCCTTATAAAAAACAACTGTGATAGAGAAGGCTCAACTCTCCTAAACTACTGCCTAAATGATAAATTTAAATATATTAATTTGTTTAAAATTTCAATTTAATTAATGAACCGAATAATGCTCATGCTTAGACAATAAAGTCAAAGTTGACTGCTTTAAAGTCGACATCTATCCAATCACTGCAGTCTAATCAAAATAATTTCTTTCAATCCATAAGAAAATCCTCTTTGTATATATTTATTTATCTATATCACAATTTAGAGACAGAGTTTAAAGTAATAAATTAAAAATATGTCAACAATATATTTATTCCTTTCCTAATTTCTTTTGGCCTTTCATTTTCTTTCTTGGCAAACGTGTTAATTTAGATAAAAAAAAAAAGCAAAAGAAGAAAAAGAGTCAACATTGAGATTGAAAAGGTATTGTGTGCTAATTAATAAGTCATGAGCTAACTTTATTCAAGTCACCATCTCTCCCGTGAGGTGACACTATCAAATCCCCTGCGTGATAAGAATCCGCAAGAGACTTAATGATCAACCCCATCGGAACCTCAAACATAAAGTGCAAACGCAAAGTTAATATCCTTAATTCTTTAAAAAGGCGTTGCACCTTTTAACGGAGAAACTAAACTAGTAGTAACAAAATAAAAGCCCACATAAACAACACGCACTTGTAACGCAACATATGGCGTCGTTTCTGTCAAGCACTCTTTCCAGTCTATCTCTACTAAGACTGAGACACGCTCCTCTTGTAATCTGTCTCTCTCCACTACTATAGCCAATTTCTTCACTCACAACCGTCATTTTTATTTCTCGACCTTCTACTTCTTCTTCCCTCAAATGGCAATGTCTATTCATATTATTTTTGTTTTCTCCGTTTATTATTATGCTGCTTTCTTAAGCTTTGCTTTATCCCACGCCGTTCCATTGTCGGAGATCCAGGCTTTGACGTCTTTCAAGCTCGGTCTCCGTGATCCCCTCGGTGCATTGGATGGCTGGGATGTTTCTACGCCGTCAGCTCCCTGTGACTGGCGCGGCATTGTCTGTTATGGTAACCGAGTCCGTGAGCTCCGTTTGCCTCGGCTTCAACTCAGTGGAGCAATCAGTAACCAGTTTGCTAACTTGCGCCAGTTGCGCAAGTTAAGTTTACATTCTAACAACTTCAATGGCTCTATTCCAACTTCTCTCTCTCAATGTTCTCTCTTACGCGCCCTATACTTGCAAGACAACGCACTCTCCGGCGGGCTTCCGTCGGCGATTATTAACCTTTCTAATCTTCAAGTCCTTAATGTAGCTCACAACTTCCTTAGCGGGAAATTCCCTGGGGATATATCACTTTCTCTCAGATACTTGGACTTGTCGTCAAATGCCTTCTACGGAGGAATATCGGCCAACTTTTCTACAGAATCTCAGCTTCAACTCATTAATCTATCGTATAATAAATTCTCCGGCGGAGTTCCGGCCAGCATTGGTCAACTTCAAGAACTGGAGTATTTATGGCTAGACTCCAATCAACTGTACGGTACACTGCCATCGGCGATAGCCAACTGTTCTTCGCTTATACACCTGAGCGCTGAAGACAATGCGCTTAGAGGTTTGATTCCAGCAACCATTGGTTCAATTCCGAAACTTGAAGTCCTTTCTTTATCACGAAATGAACTCTCCGGTTCAATTCCTGCTAGTATCTTCTGTAATGTTTTGAGTAACTTTTCTTCGCTGAGGATTGTGCAGCTGGGGTTTAATGCATTCACGGGTATTGTTAAGCCGCCAAAAGGAGGAGGGTGTGTTAGTGTTTTGGAGGTCTTAGACATTCACGAGAATCACATAAATGGTATTTTTCCTTCTTGGTTGACTAATATGACGGCGCTTAGAGTGATTGATCTTTCTGGAAACTCCTTTTCTGGTGCTTTACCGGCTGGTATTGGAAATCTTGTGAGGTTAGAGGAGCTAAGAGTTGCTAATAATTCATTAACTGGTAATATTCCTTCCCAGATTGTAAAATGCAGTTCCTTACAAGTTGTTGATCTAGAAGGGAATAGGTTTTTGGGTGATATTCCTATTTTCTTGAGTCAACTAAGGAACTTGAAATCATTATCTTTAGGAGGGAACCTCTATTCTGGTTCGATTCCATCAAGTCTTGGAGGTCTTTCCCAGCTTGTAACTCTGAAAGTAAACAACAATAATCTCACGGGAAATGTACCACAGAATTTATTGAAGCTAAGTAATTTGAGCACTTTGAATCTTGGTTACAACAAATTTTCTGGAGAGATTCCTTACAATATAGGGGACTTGAAAGGATTGCTGGTTTTGAATTTGAGTGCTTGTGGATTTTCCGGGAGGATTCCTTTGAGTATTGGGAATTTGTTGAAACTCACTAGTTTGGATTTAAGTAAGCAGAATTTGTCTGGCGAGTTACCACTTGAGTTTTTTGGGTTGCCAAGTCTGAAGGTTGTTGCTTTGGAAGAGAACAAGTTATCTGGAGATGTTCCTGAAGGTTTTAGCAGCTTAGTTAGTCTACAGTATCTCAATCTCACCAGCAATTCTTTCACCGGTGTAATTCCAGCAACTTATGGATTTCTAAGTTCATTAGTTGTCCTCTCACTATCTCATAATAAAATTTCTGGTGGAATTCCAGCAGAGCTTAGTAATTGTTCTAGCCTTGAAGTTCTTGAACTTCGTTCGAATCATTTGAAGGGCAGCATTCCAGGTGATATCTCTCGTTTATCGCATTTGAAGAAGCTTGATTTGGGCCAAAATAATATAACTGGCGAAATCCCAGAGGAGATTTACAGATGCAGCGCTCTAATTTCTCTGCTTTTGGATGCTAATCACTTTTCAGGCCATATAACAGAATCCTTGTCCAGGTTATCAAATTTAACAGTCTTAAATCTTTCTTCCAACAGCTTTAGTGGGGCCATTCCAGCAAACCTTTCTAAAATCTCTAGCCTGAAATATTTAAATTTATCAAATAACAATCTTGAGGGAGAGATTCCAAAATCACTCGCCTCTAGATTCAATGACCCTTCTGTGTTTTCTATGAATGTCAAATTATGTGGAAAGCCACTGGGTAGAGAATGTGCCGAAGTAAGGAACAGAAAAAGGAAGAAAATGTTTCTAGTCATTGGTTTAGCTGTAGCTGGCGCTTTCATTTCATTGTTTTGTTGCTGTGGCTATATTTTCAGCCTCTTGCGCTGGCGCAAGAGGCTTAGAGAAGGGGTAACTGGTGAAAAGAAGCGTAGCCCAGCCAGGGCGAGCTCAGGAGGGGACAGGAGTCGTGGAAGTGGAGAAAATGGAGGGCCAAGACTAGTCATGTTCAATAACAAGATAACATATGCAGAGACATTGGAAGCAACAAGGCAATTTGATGAGGAAAATGTGTTAAGCAGAGGAAGATATGGACTTGTATTCAAGGCCACTTATCAAGATGGAATGGTTCTGTCAATCCGTCGCCTTCCGGATGGATCAATAGATGAAGGCATCTTTCGTAAAGAAGCAGAATCATTAGGGAAGGTCAAGCATAGAAATCTAACAGTTTTACGTGGATACTATGCAGGACCACCTGACGTTAGATTGCTTGTTTATGATTATATGCCTAATGGAAATTTGGCTACTCTTCTTCAAGAAGCTTCGCACCAAGATGGGCATGTTCTAAACTGGCCAATGCGTCATTTAATAGCTTTAGGTATTGCTCGGGGCCTAGCTTTCTTGCATTCAGTCACAATAGTCCATGGTGATGTGAAGCCACAAAATGTTCTTTTTGATGCCGATTTTGAAGCACATTTATCCGAATTCGGGCTTGACAAATTAACCATAGCTACACCAGCAGAAGCTTCCTCATCTTCCACCCCAATTGGTTCATTAGGTTATGTATCACCAGAAGCAGCATTAACAAGACAACCCACTAAAGAAGCTGACGTGTACAGTTACGGTATTGTATTGTTAGAGATTTTAACTGGAAGGAAACCAGTCATGTTTACTCAAGATGAAGATATTGTAAAGTGGGTTAAAAAGCAATTACAAAGAGGCCAAATTTCAGAATTACTTGAACCTGGTTTGCTTGAGCTAGACCCTGAGTCATCAGAATGGGAAGAGTTTTTATTAGGAGTTAAAGTTGGGCTTCTTTGCACAGCACCTGATCCACTTGATAGACCATCAATGGCTGATATTGTTTTCATGCTTGAAGGGTGTAGGGTTGGACCAGATATTCCCTCTTCAGCTGATCCCACCACACTGCCTTCTCCAGTTTGAACTCTTATTTTTTAGTATTTGAAACAGAGTTTTTCCCAAAAACAAGTATCATTCTTGATCATTATTTTCTTCCAAGATTTGTTTAATATGTTTCATCATTATCGTCATCATTCCAAGATTAATCCTTTTTCTCTTCTGTATGGTGGGTGTCTTATTTATTAATTAATTATTAATGATTTGTTTAGCTCTTCATTATTCCTCAACTTGCTCCAACTGGACAAAGCTTTGACCCCACGGCGCCGTTGAACTGGTTCTTCCGTGATTCCTTCCGTAGACCAGGAGCAGGAGGGCCCAACAAATTCAATTCCCGCCAAAAATGGGATATAGAATGCGGATAAGACACGTGGCGATATCTGAAGGAGGGTAAAAGTAGCCGTTAATGTGACTGGTGAGACCGCAGGTGGCTTTATCGGAAATAGGAATTAGGGCGTTGATACGAGTGAACGTGTCCCTTTTGTTTTGGCTTGGCCTAAAGTAAAGAGAAAGAGAGCGCAATTAAAAGATTCTATAACCGTTGCCATGTAGGATTGAGAAAGTGTTGACCAGCACGTGGTCCCTGACTGGCCACAAAGTCCGATCACTTTTCTTATGCTTTGTCTGGGAAGAGGGCAAGCAAAATAAGGGTGGAAGTAAAGTAGGGGTGAATAATTTTACTGTTCATTTTTCTCATAAAATGGAGTAAAAACGAGATTAAAATGGGTGTAAAATAAATTTATTTTACATTCTCCTTAATATTTTACCTCAAACTAAACAAAAAATTTTAATAATTCTAAAAAATTTTCACTCGTTATTTTACAATCCATCCAAACTTTACACCATTTCAAACAAAGGCTTAATGCATGAAAGGCAAGCACGGAAGCTGTATGGGTTTTGGCCAGGCATTCAGTATTGGGGCCCAAGCTAGAACTTTACACTCTTCTCAATTATTAATTCTCTCTCTCTTTCTCTCTCAATTATGTACACAGTAAAATACATGATGCCAGTGTACGTGTACGTAGCTAAAGTGTCTTTTAATGCGCCTTGTGACTAACTCAGTTTTCAGAACCAACTACCAAAATATCAATCAATTGGGTCATGAGAATAGACAAAAAGCAACAGTGAGTGAATGTAGCACCCGTCATTTTCAATATTTTACTCTCTGTTCTATCCCTTTCATCCCACTTAAAGAGATATTTTTTACTGCCTGCAGTCATCCCAGTTAACGAGTACGGGATTGGGACCCCTCGACACTGCAATTCTGTTTCCCTAATTATCACACTAGAAGTTCCCTCATCAGCAAGTCGCTGTAACTTGACGCTCTTCGAGTGAAAACATTCAAAGTGACTGTAAGTTTTGGAACTGAAACCGAGAGCGGCAAAAGAAATAGATGGCAAAGCAAATAAGAAGACAAAATTAGATTGTTATTAACCAATTTCTCTTGAAAAAATGTGTTAAATGAGTGATACTTTCTATTTCCTCTTCATTTTCCTCGTACTCAAGACAAAATTACTTATTATTGGCTCCAAAAATAGCACTTTTCTCCCTCTCGTTCCCTCCATTTTTGACAGTCTAGCACAACCAAATTGTTCTCACGTCATAACATTAACTGATGGAAAGAACCGTGACTGATAATTATATGCATGGCAAGGAGATGCTAAAATTTAAATATAAGGTTCTTTCAGTGGGCCTGGAAAAGAAGTAAATCTAGTAAATTGAGCCAAAAAAATATTGTTAGTAAACATGTCCTTAATTGTCAATCCTTGGGGACATTTTTTCTTGAATGTTGGTTTATACATATATATATCTGTAGTATATTCAAGAAATTTTACATATACATATACATGTAAAGAATGTTATATCGATGAATATTGGTGTGAATTTTCTAATTGAATTCACATCTGGGATAAAATTATACACAAAAAAGCTATGCAGATGTCAGACCTTCAGGAAGGGATTCATTATCAGGGTCACGCGAGAGAAATCTCCGGCAAGCATAGAACATAGCTGAATGAAATCCTGTTGGATTGTCTATGAAGACAAAATGTCCACCCTGAAATTAAGCACAGAAAAGAACTCCATTAGTCTTAAAGATGCTTGGCATTTCGCTATATTCTTCACTCTGAAAGAAGTATGAGAGAGAGAGAGATAAAGACCTGGGGAACCCTAATGATTTCACATGGGACCTTCATATGCTTGCGAGCTTCTTGGGCCCCTTGATAATTCATCCAATCTTGAAATCCATATATGAAAGTAGTTGGAACTTTCCACTCAGATGCTCTGTAAAGAAAAGTATGATTATTAAGAATTTCCACAATGAACTTCCACCAAGATGCTCTTTTGTACATGTTGAAGTAGAATATACAAGCCTCTGTTTGTACTAGAATCTAGTTTGAGTAACACTTCTCACGAAAAGTCCTTTCATAATGCAGGCATTCATGCATGTAAATCTAGCAAGAGATACCTAAGTTGATCCATGAATGAACCAGGAGGAATCTTTTTTTCAAATGCAAAATGGATGAGAATCAACAATTTTTTTGCATAAAATACAATTCCTTCGAACTTATCTAGTCCCCCTTCTATGCAAGAAACAAATATAAAAAATATCCTCCTGGAATTATTATATTCTCAGTTGAAACCACTGGCAAATTGTGTGATCTTAAAAACATTGAATTTTCTTTAGGAAGCCCATCCACTCCAACCAACGGAAGCAAGTAATCTAATAATTCACGGAGAACCTTCTAGACAACAATGGTTCCCAAGACTTTCAAAGAAGGAAGACTCTGAGCAATATAATTATTTTTTTTATCTAATGTTGCAACAACATAAAATCTCATCGACACAAAATAGTTCAGAAAAGACATAAATTGACGCATGAAAAAGGCATTTTTATGACCTATTCTTGAGAAATATATCAATAAAAGTATGATTATCAAACCTTTGTAGAAGAGGCATGCGGGCAAATGCTCCAAAAGAGAATATATATTTCAAGCAGAGTTCCCCACTAGCTTTAGCTGCTAAAGTGTGATAAACATAGTCTGCAAATAAAAAGAAATCATCAGATAACCACCGATAACACATGATACAAACACATATAAAATCCTACACTACCTGTTAGCAATTTAGACTCCTCCCCAGTTAATACCTCTCCAGTGGAATATGCACCAAATCTAGCACTAGTATACCTGCGTACAAGATCTGGACCCCAAGGACCTAAACCTCTGCATGAAAAGATTAACCAGGAAATCAGAAACTGAAAGGTAAAGGCAGCTAATGCAACCCAAGATTCAGCGCACTATACAAAAAAAAAAAAAAAAAAAAAAAACATGAAAAGAATTAACCAGGAAATCAAAGAAACTGAAAGGTAAAAGGCAGTAATGCAAAACCCAAGATTCAGGCGCCACTATACAAAAAAAAAAAAAAAAAAAAAAATCATACTCTCAGTAGACAGAAGACGAGAAAGATGCTTGAATGCTACAAAAGATACGGGAAAAAAGAAAACATATTTAATTGCATACACAAAAAAAAAAAAAAAAAAAAAAAAAATCTACTCTCAGTAGACAGACGAGAAAGATGCTTGAATGCTACTAAAAGATACGGGAAAAAAGAAACATATTTATGCATACACATCCTATTCTGAAGCATTATCAAAAACCCCGTTCCTCAATGAACAAAGAAGCTCAACCAAAATTATTTAATTGACAGTAGACCATAACTTTGATCTTATTCATTGGCACAAGCATTGTATTGCACAGGTTACATTTACACCGGTGCAATACCAAAAACCATGAAAAATATTTTGACTGGGGTTTATCCTATAAGAATATGCCAACAAAAAGCGCAAGTAACTGAACAATGCAGGTCATATATCCACAAGGAGAAATGTATGATCACGAAAATGTCACATCTAAAATGATGGAAAAGAGATATGCAATTGTCTGTTAAATTAGGAAAATAATATATAGATTTATGTACCTAACAAGCTTCTGAGGAGTAAAATTAGATTCCCACAAATGATTAATAATTGCTCCTTTCCAAGTTGCTCTAAATTGAGTAATCCACTCTGACTTAGCTTCTGCTTCTGATGAAAATCCAGCAGGTCCCACTAAAATCAAATGCTGAACGTGCTCAGGATGCTACGACATAGACATATAATTACTATTAGGAATGGCCTAAGTGTCATCATATTGTTATCAAAATTCTAAAATGCATGGAAAAGAAATCACCTTGAGAGCATATTTAGCTGCAACATATCCTCCAAAAGAATGTCCAAGTAATATGAAGTTACTGAGGTTTTTCGCTTTCCTCCATTCCTCAAAGGAGTCAATAAACCATGCCTCAGTTTCTACATTATTAAATGCAACACAATTAAAAGAATTCTTCTGCATGATTTATGTCTTGATAAACAAAATACTATAAGGATATCTTGCAAACTACTTGTAAATGAAATGTCTTGAATTTGATGAAAACATAAGCTTGATCTAACCTTCGGTGCTTTTGCATGTAAAGTCAGGTCTACTTGATCCACCCCAGCTGTATTAAGCCAAAAAAAAAAAAATCACAACAATTATCTGTCACGGAAAACAGAACCGAATCCCCTCTCTCAAAAAAAGTTTTAAAACAAAGTAAAAGAACAAGTAGAAAAGAAAAGGAAAAAGGTTTGCAGAATTGAGAATATATAGAAAGACAAACGATTGTTAAGGAATATATGACTAAATCGCTTATCAAAAAGAGGGAGAGCAGGTTAATATGGTGGATGAATTCGTTGTTGTTTCTTCTTCTCTTTTACTTATTTCTTCAAAGTTCTACTTAAAATTCTCAAGAATCGAGAAGTGTAGACAAGGGAAAAAAACAACTCAATCCTGTTAAAAAAAGTACTTCTCATCGCGTTAAAAATATATTGCTCAGGCCAATACAGAATATATTGGACTCTTGGAACCAAGCTAAACCTTGTACATTTAGGCTTCATTTGGTGTCAGTAATGGAGTAATGTAATGTAAACATTTTCATATCTAGAGTTTTCAATTACTTCCATTACTGCTCATCAAACGTTAATCATCTAAGATTCAGTTACCAAATATTAGATAACTTGAGGATTCAAATTACAAAACTAGAACTATCAATTCTAGAACAAAGGGAATGTGATTAAACTTACCCAAGCTGATCAATAGCAATGACCTTGAAACGACTAGCGAGAGCATCAAAATTCCGAAAGAAGAAGCCTTGAGAAGCAGCATATCCGTGGACCATTACGAGCGTGGGCGAGTCCTCCTTGCTATCGAAGGTAAGGGTGTTAATGAAACGTGGCTCATTGCTTTCAGAACGAAACCACCTCACTTTGGACCCAGGCGGGCCTGACCCTATATTAACTTGCTCTTGGACATAAGGAGTCCTGAAATTGAAATTCCCGAGATTAACAATTCAAATTACAATCAAATAGATCCAATTACAATCAAATAGATCCAATTAAAAAAATTATTCATCCTTATGTGAAGCTCTCTGTTTCAATTAGGGTTTAATGTCAAAACAACTGGAGAGAAACAGGAAATTACTTGACTAGAGAGAGGAGGCGTTTTTCGGCTGCAATGATGTGATCGGTGGAAGTAGGGATCCAACGAAGGACAGAAGGCCACAATGATCTCGTTTTTGCTCTTGATGAGGTTGAGGTTGATGTTGATGTTGATGTTGATGTTGCAGCAGCAGCAGCAGCTGACCCTAACTCTTCGGCCATTTTCGATATTGAGCTAGATACCCGTGGACGAAGCAAGTTCATGTATATCTAAATGTACACAAGATTCTTTCGCTGATGAGAAGAAATCAATGCAGGCAAAGCGGGTGGGGGATTATAAAGCAGTTATTATTCGTACGCCGGGATAACTGGCAAAAGTGGGCGCCACGCTATACGACCCAGTTTTGACCCCGTTAAGAGGAACAACGTGTAACGTATCGTCTGATCAAATGTGTAGAGAACACAACAGCTGTCGTGTAGACCAGTGCTTCTAAGAATCACCTAGTAAGATGGAAGTGAATTCGAAAAATCTGGTTGGTTAAAGCTATACGTCTTCCTTGATCTAGAAAGTGCCAGAACATTTCTTCTTGTTGAAATGACGTTGGCGATGACGTAGCACATAAATAATTAAAGTCTAAAGCCGTCAGGCGTCAGCCCGTGTGAAATTCTTTTTGGTAAGTACAAAGAGCAGCGAGTCGGTTTCTTGTAGCTGGTATTTGATTGCGATATATGAAATCATTTTGTTCATTTTTAGAGTGGAGGTTTGATATCTCTTTTCATTTACCATTTTCTTTGCATGAGAATTTGTGTGGTGTGTTGATAATGAGACAATCTATTGCTTCATGTTGAGTGGGAGAATTTTTACCCAATTTTCTTTGCAAATGAGAATTTGTGTGGTGTGTTGATTAATGAGACAATCCTATTGCTTCATGTTGAGTGGAGGACTGGAAATGGTGAGAAATGGGAGGACTGGAAATGGTGAGAAAACAGGGGAGGAATTGAATATATGAAGGCAATATTGAGTTTATGCTGAAACAGGTTTTGCTAGAAAGGAACCAGTGACTTCACTTTGATTTTGACCTTATTTAATGATGGAATTAGGAAGTGTTATAGAAGAGTTATTTGTTCCTCTATGTGTTAGCGTTACATGGGTTTTTGATAAGAAAGAAATGCTTGAATTATATTTTCCATTGCGCTAGAAAATCATGGAGAAAAACCTCCATTAATCTGTACAGAATATTTTTATGGTCAATATCGGTAGATTCTTTTTACCATCTTTACTTTACATCGGTTCGTCGAGTTAGATTGATTAGAAACAAATAAACACCTCTAATGCCACGGTTTTCTAGAACAAGATTATTCTTAAAATAGATTAATCTTTTCTGTTTGGTCCACTTCCTTGATTCCTAATGCATGTCCCAGCTCATTTAAGCCCATTTTGGACAAATCAACAAGTTATAACGGCTCACTACTACAAAAATTTTCTCACACCAAAACCCAAAGAGAGTATGGGCGATCTTTCCTAAAGGAACTTGAACATTTACCCTAAAAAAAAAAAAAAAAAAAAACTTAATCTTCATCGCTACTATGACTCGAAGAAGTCATTGCTAGAGGAAGGATGAGAGGATTTAAGAGAGATCTTTAAATTAAAGGATAGAAATGAATGAGAGTTGCAAAATTTGAGCTATTTATAAAGGAAAAGGGCCAAAAGGCGGGTCTTCTGGACGCGTCCATTTTTCGCCTCCAAAATTTGTGTTTCAGACAACCACCGAGTAGATAACTTTCCATTCCAACTATGATAAAAATATTCCTAATGGAAAAAAAAAAAAAAAAAAAGGAAACTTGAATATATCCAGAAAATACAACATGAACAATGAAACAATGAGATCTTTAATTAAAGGAAGAACTAATAACTAACCCTGCATTTCACTATAACAATACCACTGAACTAAAAATCCATTTGGCAGAAAATCACACTATGAAACTGGAGACAAATTCTCGAGTAGATAACTTTCCCATTCCAACTATATAAAATAATTCCTAATGGATCACAAAACAGATGACACCATCTCCAACTTCACTCAGCTCTTGACTGACCAGCTCGGGAAGAAAGGATGATGCCAACAATGAGGCCATAGAGGGCCAATGCTTCAGCAAAAATGAGAATCAGGATCATCCCAACAAAAAGCTTTGGCTGTTGTGCATTTGCTCTGCAAAATGAAATTCAATATTAAGAAGCATGGAATCCCAAAATGAAAAAGCAAGATCACTATCTATAAATGCATAAATCATCTTAAAATTGAAGTCTAATCATGGCATCCATTTCTAAGGGGCACAAAGAAAAGGAAACAAACAATGAAAGGACCAAACTATTTCAGTGGATTGCAATGTCAGAAATTGAACTTCGTACATTGAAATAACCTGTCATTTACTTTTGAAAAAATTTTAGAAAGCACCGGAATCCAGAAGATACTACCTTCAATTTGCTCAATCTAATGCAGCCTACGTTCAAAACTTTGATGAAATAACTGAAGAAGCCTAGCGAACTGAACACCAACATAAGTATATAGGCACAAAAGCAAACTTGTGCTTCAAAACTGATTCAGTTGAGCACAGGAATGTAAAGATAAATATTAATTTGTTGAATAAGGTGAAAAGCAATCCAAGCTGCCCAAGTGCATCTCACACAATTTTAACTGGAAGCATCACTCACAGATTAAAATGAGCCAATTGATATAAAACATTTAATCTCGCCACTTTTTTGAGCAATGCTTGAGGTTAGAGTTGCTTCAATCAGGTACATTCCATGTATGCAAGGATTGATAAATACAGGTCTACATAACAGATTACTTGACTGGAGGAACAACAAGGCTGAACATTTTACAATTATATCCATATCTCGTCAAAGCAAATTTCAGCCAAAGTTCTAGACCAGGAGGCTCTCATTATTGCTCCCTTAAATAAAGCAAACCTCCGATATTCCAAAAGATTAAGCCAAAAAACAAGCGGAAAAGTTGTGGCTCAATATACCATAAATATGGGAAAATAAAAAACTAGTTACGGAATTAGGAAGCAGGAACCATATACACACAAACAAAAACAGTACATATCACGCGGACACGCACAACATAGGCTGCACGCATAGAGCAAATTGGAAAAAACCGCAACAGAATAAGAAATCAAGCGGTCAGATATTACCTAACACCTGCATCTCCTACGATGCCGATGGCCATACCAGCAGAGAGACCCGCAAGACCACAAGCGAGACCAGATGAGAGATGAGCGTATCCATCGAAGAGATAATATGACTTGGCCTTAGGGTTGATTCCAGTACTGATAATCACAGCAATAATCAAACCGTATATACCCAAAACTCCAGCCATAACCACGGGCACAATTGATTTCATCACCAACTCGGGTCTCATCACACCCATGGAAGCCACACCAACACCGCTCTTCGCGGTTCCATACGCAGCTCCCATGCCTGCAAAAACACGAGATCAAAACCGCCAACCAAATCTAAACATCAGAAAAGATAATAAAAGCACTCTTAATCCATATCCGTGATTCAATACATAGAGCATAAACGGAAATTCAGATCAAATTTTGCAAATTTCTATTGTGATTGGACTACATGAGAAAACAAGTGCAGCAGCAGCGCCAAGGAAGCCAAAGAAAGGAGCAGTCTCATCGCCGCTGAACGTAGACGGGGAAGCCATTTTCTCTATTTCTCCGTTTCTCTTTGATTTCGGTCACAGATTTCTGGAGCTCTGAGTTCGTCGATCCCTCCAGCTATTTCTAATCTGAATCAAAGTATGTGAAAAACAGAGCAACCGTTACCGTTAAAATATTCACAGGTCAGAAAATAATTGGTCTCTCATGCAGCTTCTATAGGCAAAAAATTTTGACCAAGAGGAAAATCACAGTATAAAATATACTGTAATAAAACGAAATTTTGATTAAATATTTTACTAATTATATATATTTATATATATACTGTTTTCATTTTTCTTATATGAAAGTGTTATTTAACAATTTTATACACAAACAATAATAGCATAAATTTATATCATTTAATAGTCTATGTTTTAATATTATAATAATAATTAAATATAATTATTATTCTTACACATTATGTGCATACTTCCGGTTCAGGTTGCGCTCTAATTCCACTTCTCTGGAAATTTGCTAAGTCGAAAGAGATTGTTCCTCTGTAGCCTTATTTTTAGCCCAACACCTGACCATTTGAAACGGGCCCAACTTGTTGGTTAACAAGCCCATGCACTAGTAGGACACACCAAACCTTCTGACGACAGTTTCTTCAACACGAGGAGTCACCATTTCATAGTACTTACGTCCGTTAACACAAGGAGCCATTCGTAAATCATAGGAACCATGTTTTTGGTTTTCATTGCCCAATCATTGAAAAAATTATATATAATCATTAGTGTCACAAAATGAGAAACATTCAATCGCAAAATGTGAACGCCACATCAATTTTTACTTCTCATCAACCTGTTTTCCAATATAAAACTTATGTATCGGTTAACCACCACCTGAAACAAAAACCAGAATTAATACTAGTTTTGGTCGACTTACCACAACACCATCAGGAATAAAAATCCATTGTACAAAGCGATGCATAAATAGTGAGTGAGTAGTGTATATCAGATGAAAATAGTTCATTAGATACTCAGATATTGATGATATGAGAACTTATCTATTTTCCTCGACAATTGGACACTGATTTGCCTCGAGGATAAATTCTAAAACCCCTTGGTCCTTAAATTGAAGATATAAATACAACCACCAGATAATATTTTATTCAATTTAAGGTTCCCCGCAAAAAGAGGTCAGTTAGAATAGTAATAAATTCAAAGTTAGTGGCCACCAGGTGGCAACCTGCAATTGCAATAAACGACAATAGCATAAAGAGGCTCTGAAAACAAAAATGGCAATAAAATCAGCGACATGCCACTATCTGAACTCAAGAATTTCAATTGAAACGTATAACCTACAAAAACACGAAGTACCAAGAACAGTCACCCATAATTTGGGGCCATTTGGTTGCAAAGACAGGAAAAACAAAGAAAGCAACGGAGTTGAATTAATTATGATTTTGACTCTAAACCAAAATCCATGCTTTGGTCGAGCTGTGATAAAATGTTACCATTAGATGAGGAGAAACTTCTGAAGGTTGTGATGTATGAAGAAAAAACTGACTGAAATGAAATTCAATACGAAGAATATGATGCACTTTGAGATGCCGTGCCCGAAGTGAATGTTCTTCTCCATCTAAAGTTTAGATTCACTCAAATGCTATCGGAGGACAAAAGGCGAGCAGGATTCCCAGCCAACAATCAATTACCATGAACTAATTTAATTGTCCCATGTTCCCCTCACCAACCAGGAACATGGATTCAGCACTGAAGAATGTTACTGATAAAGATTAAGCTCATCTACAGTCCCCTGATGTCCAACATACAAAACAAAAAATTAATTTACAAAGGTACATCAGAATCAAATAAACTGAAATATCTTGTTGCCTCCTTGGTAAATAAATAAAAAAAAGAGATCTGCAAAACGAGAATCACTTGACATAAGAGCTTGGCAATAGAACATACCTCATTGAAAAATCACCTGTAATATTTTCCCCAACCTGGCACAAGTAGAGAGATGTGTAAGCACAAAGATAATGGCCCAAAGGTGAGAGATACATTCTATTATCTTCTAGTCTTAAACAGGTAAAATGTTGCAATTCTAGTCATTTACTTCATATCAACTAAAACAAACTTAAATTTGTCAAATACTAGGTCAATTGATGTAGACCAATTATTCATCAAACAAAGACCTTGCCAAATATAATGTGGAGCATTTAAAAAAATGGATTCCCTGCATTAACAATGACATCAGGTAAAGATACAATACAATTTAAGCTCCTATTCTTGTGTGAAAAGCATGCATATACAGACAAAGCACACAGAGGGGGGAGAGAGAGAGAGAGAGAGAGAGAGAGAGAGAGAGAGAAGAAATGGGCACCAAATCCTCACATAAAGGTTGCCATAAACTCAAAACAGGCTCCTTGGATTGAAATTCTCAGAACAGAAAATGAAGTTAGCAACTGATGTTCACTTGAATAAATCAGGATGGTACTTTTGGGGCAAGAGAAAAATGTTCTATATCTTGTCACCATGAAACAATCCTAGGCTGTACACGTTAAAAAAGTAAAAGTCAGAAACAGGTAGTGTCTCATCTATTAGGGGTCCCTGAACTATATAAAAACAAAAAATGGGTATTAACTCTCCACCCTTTGAAATACTGTGCCGAAGGATGACGGACTGATTGCTGATACATTCAAATTGTGCTAATGATCGTGATCCGGATAAGTGGAGCTATAGAACTTTTCTTGAGCTCTTTTCACTTCCTGACACGAAAAATGACTCTGATAACATTTTCAAGTATGCCAAATATAGAACAATCTTCAGTAGGCCACACAGCAAGCATCATCAGTAAGGCCCCACTATGATTGAGCAAACTACAACGACCATCTTCCTCGGCATTTTCTGGATCATTGACAGCATATTGGCAGTTTGAATTATGTACACAGGAAATCCAATCCAGGAATACTGCCACCACCATCTCATGCTGTGCACTCGTGCATGAATTAAAAGCAACACACTTCTGCAATTGCAGAAGAGGTGTACCCAGAAACACAAGCCAATCAATCTTGACGATAATCAACGTTTCACAGCTGGCTTCATTGCCATATGTCTCTCAATCAATTTGTCCACAAAGGCGCGGATCTGCACACATCAATTCAAGGAAGAATAGAATCAGAAGGAAATGTTCTTCATGCTAATTGTTTGGAAAAAAAAGAAAGTATTACTGTTCATAACAGACCCAAATTATTAAATGCCCATTATATCACTCATACAAATGATAATAAGTAGAAAATAATAGGAAATTTATATTACTATGAAACCGAACCAACGCAGTGGACAGTATGGTAAAAACTTCTGAAAGAATGAACCTGCTAAAGTACACACCTTATTCTTCCGTTTGAAGTCAAGAAACTGAGGAACAGCCATTGTTTTTTCTGCATCAGTAGCTTGTTCCATGACCTGAAGGAGAATTAAAATAGATGTAAAATTGTGTTAGTAGAGGGAAAAGCAGTTTTAAAATCCAGGATAATCAATTCTACTGATTTAAAAGTCTGCAAATATGTAATGTAAAACCATAAAACGGAAGGAGAAGGAAAATAACAAGACCTTAGTCGCAGTTTTCTTCATTATTGATTTGTATCCTTCCCTATCAATTTTCCTTGCCTTATAAACAGGCATTAGCAGTGATGCAACAAAATCCACAACAGCCTGTTTAATACGGTCAGCACCTCGAGGATGACCTCTTTGTGGTTCTTTGTTTAATGTAACCTGTGAGATTGAGCTTTCATTTGCTCGCCCATCATTCCTCCAGGTAGGTGGTTTCGAACTTGTGTTTGAATCCTCTTCATCCTTTATATGCATAGCTGGATGGAAAAAATCAGAATCAGCTGCAGCTGCTTGAGATTGCCACCTCTCAATGGCATGATAGTCCTTTATCCCCTCACTACCAGCAGTATCAACCCATGCTCTTGTAAAAAGACTGCTGTCCACAGCTGCAGTTTCTCCAGACTGCTCTCTAAAGTTCATATCACATGCAATCAAATTTGAATGGCTCCGCTGAGATAAGTTATCAACTGATATCCTCGAATTATTGAGGTTACAAGTCGCAGAGAAATCAACAGACCAATCCCTGACTCTACAATTCCTCGAGTCTATTTCAGAAATACAATCTTGTCTTCCCAGGATACCTCCAGACCACTTTCTTCTAAGATCACATTCATCCAGTTGTGCATATTGTTCTCGCCTTGCAAATTTGTGAAATGACGGTATCTTTGGAAGCTGCATCACTGTATTGCTCTTGGCTTCTGCTGATGCATATGCCTACAGTTCATAACCACTATTTACTGCTTGATGTACATATAATGGCAAGAAAAGGAAAAGAATACAGCAACAAAGAAGAAGATAAACAAAAGGTTAGAGTTAGTCCAATGACACATGACATTTTCAATGGAAAAAGAACATCTTAATTGGATACTGCTGTCACTTAAACAATCTCCAAAACATCTACTAACAATATCAAAAGAGCAAAAATATCACATAAAAAAATCGAGGAAACATCATTACCCACTTTTTGCATGAAAATATTCACATTTAAACAAAAGACTAACAAAAGATTTGATTAACAGCATACCAACTGTGCAGCTACCAAGATTAGACTATAAATGACCTTAAAGAATCATCTGCTACGCTTTGTAGTTACAGGTGAAACTTCAAAGAGAAACATACCTCAATAGCTGCACGAGCAGCAGCATGGGCTTCCTCAGCTGCAGCTAATGCAGCCAGTTCTTCTTCAGACATGGTATACTTGCTCTCCTCCTCTATAATTTGCTGTCTCCCTAAAGAAGTAAAAGGTTCCAATTTTGAGTCCTTGGAGGTTTCGAGCTTGACCAGCTTTCCATTAACTTTCTTTATGCTTGCATTAGAAGGAGAAGGGATTCCACTGGATGGTGCAACCTCCAAACTCCCTTTAGTCTCCAAACCACCATGATAAGTTCGTAGGGGCGGCTTTCCTGCTGCTGGATTGTTAACAGATTTTCTCTTTGAGGAATCCACTGCAGTTGCTTGCCTCAATAGCTTTAGCCCACCATTTGAAGCTTTTTTTCTCCGAAAGACTTCAAGCCACACACTAACCAGCTGACTTGCTATGGCACGTATATCACGGCTGGTATGCACACAAACTTTTTCTTTTACTGTTTTCCCTATGCCTGCACCAACAAATTAAAAACCAGTAAATTTATAACATTGACTACGTCATAATAGTTATGTTTTCACCTCTTGCTTCTATCAGGGAACACCACTTCCATCCACCCCAACATCTCCAATCAAGGAAGTGCCAGTCACACCTCCTCACTAAATATATTAATGAAGTACACAACTTTAGGGAAAGTCTAGTCAAACTCTCATTTAAGTGCTCTAAGGAACAAATATATTCAAATTACTCGAACATGCCCCAATCCAGTGTTTAACCACCACTAGCACATATCATTCCTCACACAAGTTATGTGACCAGTCCAAATAGAAAAGATGCAGAGAACTAAAATATATAATGCCTAAATGCAGGCTTGTGTGCAGGTATATATACTGATAAGAAACAACAAAAAAAAAAAAAAAAAAAAAAAATCTCCATCAAGGAAGTGCCCAGTCACAAGCTCCTCACTAAAATATATTAAATGAAAGTACACAACTTTAGGGAAAGTCTAGTCAAACTCTCAATTTAAGTGCTCTAAAGGAACCAAAATATATCAACATTACTCGAAACATTTGCCATGCCCCAATCCAGTGGTTTTAAACCACCACTAGGCAAACATATCATTCCACACAAGTTTATGTGACCAGTTCCAAATAGAAAGATGCAGAGAACTAAAATAATATAATGCCTAAAATGCAGGCCTATTTTGTGTGCAGGTAATATATACTGATAAGGAAACAACAAAAAGAAAAAAAAAAAAAAAAAAAGAAATTAGAAAGAAAACATACCTGAACAAACGCAACTGCAAAGTAGATCGGTTGAAACAAGTACAGAGACGAACACAATGACGCAAGAGCTGAGTTCCAATCCTTCCCAAAATTGAACCCTGTCAAACGATATTCAAATTGATATTTAGAATGTATTTATTTGGATACTCTAAATTAGGCAAGTCAGCAACAGGAAGGTTAACCAAATAAAAAAAAAAAAAAAAAAAAAAAAAGAATTAGAAAGAAACAATACCTGACAAACGCACTGCAAGTAGATCGGTTGAAACAAGTACAAGAAGACGAACACAATGACGCAAGAGCTGAGTTCCATCCTTCCCCATTGAATCCTGTCAAACGATATTCAAATTGATATTTCGAATGTATGTTTGATACTAAATAGCATCAGCAACAGGAAGGTTAACAAATAATTTGCAAATCTTAATGTGTTTGATTCAGTAAAAGGATAATAAATCAAAATGCAACGTACCAGAATCCATGAATTAAGTGTGGCAAGCCCTTTTCTGGTCCCAGCAAAAGACTTCAAGGTTTCAACTGGAAGATTCAACAATTTTTTGGCCAGATGCAATCGTCCTGCTGTAGTTTTTGCACTAAAGAACATTTCTTTTAGTAAAGCTTCCTTGGTTAAAATCTGGGCACCATCCAATGAATTCTTGTACAGGACATTGGAAAGCTCAACTGCCTCTAGTCTCTTTCTTATGTCCCTAACTTCATCCCTTTCACACTCTGAGTGTCTCTGTGCAGCTTCCATTGCCTCTACTTCAGCTGTGTAGTCATTTCCACTATTCAATATGTCAATTATGCGCACTGCCTCTCGGAGCCCACTCATCATTGCACCACCAACTGTATCAGGATGCTCCTTGCATGTAGCTTCACCAGCAAAAAATAAACAATTCTCAACAGGTCTGCCCAATAAATCATAGTCTTCCCCAGATGATCCAATTGCAACATAGGAGTAAGCGCCAAAGCTGAAGGGATCCCTACCCCAATCAGTCACTGCTGATGCAACTGGATCAGGTACAACAGCCTCCCCAAAAAGCTTACGAAGAACCATTAATGCATGACTTACATGATCTGATGAGCTCATATTTTGACCATCTATAGCTGCCTTACCAACCACTAAGGCTATAAGAACAGGAGCCCCAACAGTTTTTCTGACATTCCAAAACATAAAGCAATGGCCCCTCCGATCAGTTTCCTCAGCAGTAGCTCCAAAGTAATCCACAGAATCATCCCAAAATACTTCTGGAAATTCCAAGGCTACTTTATTAAGAACTCCAAATCCAAGCCGCTGGATGGAAGAACGTTTCCATTGGGGTAATGGAGGATTAAAATTTATGGTTTCTGCTTTCAAACACCCGAGTGGCAATGTGATTAACACAGCATCTCCCAAAAACGCAGTACCACTTGAAGTGGTAATTTTAACTTTTTTACACTGATTTTCACTTAAACCAGATTCCTTTGTACTATATGAAATATCAGTGACAACATGATTCAGGTGAATGGAAAGCCCTTCGCTGAGAGACTCAACAACATTACTATAACCCCCTTTAATCATACAATGCGCTCCTCCAAATCCTCCATAAACATCATCTTGATTCCAGTAGGGAAGAGATACTTCTTTCAAGGGCGCAGCACAACCATACTCCAAATGCGCAAAATGCCAATCCATGACCCTCCTCTCCAGTGGACTCAAAATCTCCTCGTTTGAACCAATTTTCTCAGGAACTCCACCGTCAATGCTACAAGTTTCTGAAACATATAAATTATCCACTGCATCTTGCATTTCAGATTCATCAATATCTGTTCTTGATCGTGTCATGCGCCGTGTCTTAAGGGCATATTCTAAACCATCCTCCAGAGACATTCTCATTGCATGTTCCCCCTTCTGTGCCACAACCAACACCATGTCATCAAGAAGGCTGTTGTACTCTGCTTCCAACGCTTCATCCAGATCAGTCGGAACTTTTTCTCTGGTCACAATATCATAAAGAGGGCAATCACTATTCAGGACAGTCAACTCCAGGCCTAACTGAGCACAAATCAATGAGGAGGGGTCTGGCCTTCTTTCAGTGGCCACATCAGCCTCGACACCAGTGATAATGCTAGCCCCAAGATCTACAGGAACTGAAAGAGATGAATGATCTGTATAAACACGGCCTCCTATCCTACTCCTAGCCTCAAGCACACTGACAGAAAAACCCTGACGTTGCAAGTGGCGTGCAGCAGTTAAGCCAGCAGGACCAGCTCCAACCACAAGGATTTTCTTTCTGTTGTCAGAATCACATTCAAAAATATGACTCCCCCCAGTATCGTCACAGGAGGAAGATTGAACACTCTGCAAGTCATTCCGTAACTCTGAATTCATAACACCTGCCCTGCTATCCAATGTTGCACAAAGTGGATCGGCACTCACACCATCCAAATTGACAAGTCCATTGGGTAATTTTGCACTGATGCTACCAGTTTGCTGTATCTCACTAGCTACATTGGATACTTCAAGTTTCATCAGAATATCAAGCTCCCTGCTTTTTGTATCTTTTGACAGTGCATTTTCATCATCAGCTGCCACCGTATTATTTGCCTCCAAGCAAGTTTCAGAACTTTTAACTTGACCTAGGATAAAGGAAACTCCATCCTCCAAATCAGCAGCTGACACTCCTGGATCTACCTCAAAAGTTTTTTCCTCAAGAAGTTTATAATTATGTTTCATGCTAGGTTCTGATTTCTCCTTCTTGGAGGCAATTCCAACATTTATATAGCCCTGCCAAGATTTTATAAGCATTTACATACTGAACACGAGAAAAACTAAAACACTAAAGATCATCCAGCACTCCGACAGAATAAAATATCTCAAATAGCAACCCGAACCATGTTGCACTTAAAAAGAGATAATGAGAGAGAACCAGGGAAACAAGAGAAAAGATGGAGGTATCTGATACAAGGAACAAACATCAAAAGTAGTATTCTGGAAACGTTTTAGACTTACACTCTGATCAAGAAATGCATAGATTTCCCGAATTAGAGAGGCACGCGATGGTTCATCCTCAGTTGGAGTACCTGTGACACCACAATCAGCTAGAGGCAATATTCGGCTAACATCTTTGCTCCAAAGACCCAAGATCTGATTTCTGCATTGAACCAAGCAAATAAATTGCATTGAACAGGAAGAACTAATTGAGAACACCGAGTATAGAAAAGACAGTTAAGATGTAGCTGTTATATCACTCATACAATACCTGGCCTGATCAAAATATTAAAGCCAAGTAATTTTGCAAAGCCCGTACGAGAAAATGTAATAACAGATAATACTGTCCACAGGCAAATATGTAAAAATTTGCCATTCAAAGAGCATAAAAGGTTATGAGCAATAAATGGATCATGTTCTTAAAGAAGACAAAACAAATGCATAAAAGCAATTTGAGAAAATACAGATCCAAAGAAATCTTATGAATAATTAAAAACAGATGAAATACTGATCCAAAAACGAAATGAATGGGACTATCCATAATCAGCCAATGAACAGCAGCAGAGAAGATGATGGTCACAAAATGGCATCAGAATAACTGAAAGTATCCACTGTGGGTCACCACCTTAACAGCAAATCCTTACAAGAGTATAAGTAATGTTGAATAAGATAGTAGTGACTAATTCTGGTTTGAAAATGAAGACCCTAAAGAGGCAATACACACACACACACACACACAAAAGTTCTACCGATTAATAAGGTATAATGTATGCCGCAGAAACTCACACTTTAATTTTTGTAGCCAAAATCTGTTGCGAAACAGAAAAGTTGCTTTAAAAAATTTAAAGCTAAGATATATTTCTTGGAAATAAGAAAATGACAGTAGCTAATTTATCTATACAAACTGCCATAACAGAATCCAATTTTCTAACAACAACATTCAGAGAGAACATATAAAGTAAAAGGAGATGATCCATACTAATATATCAAGGAAAAAATTAGTAAAGGCAAAAGACGGAATTAAACCCTATTCTAGTGTTTTTTCAGCTTCCAGATGCATACGGGTTACTTGAATATTGTCACATTTTCAAAGATGCTTTGACCAGATATAGATGGAAGTTCTGAGTTAAGTTTACATAGCCTATGAACGTGAACCACCAACCTCAAAAAACATTACACAAGAACAAATTCAAAGAGAAATAAAGCATTAGGCATCACTTGCTGACAAATGCGCTAAGATGCAATAAAAGCAAATAAATGCATTATATCAACTAGCTGAATAATGAAGAAAGCACTCTTCAAAGTTTAAACTGCAGAATATGAAAAATATGTTAAGGCAAATGAAAGAATAAAAGTGTGTGCAAATGCACAGTAGCTGCCTAAGCAATAACTAACCTGCATTCCAAATATTCTTGAAGCCCACCTTTGCGTTTTAAGACCTCCTTAAATTTTATCTTCTCAACTGGACCAGCAGCATGAGCTTTCAGTCCAACTGACACTGCAGCTGCGCCACCATTTTCAGCTTCCGTAACACTAATTGAAGAGGAATCAGATTTCTCTCTTGTTCTAAAAGATCTATCACTGTCAACAACCTGGTCACCTTCCAGGTAATGATGATCATTTATCAAGATCTCCCAATCAGGATCCCCTTCATAAGCCATGTCCCCAAGCCTGCGTTTTTTAGGCTTCCGCACACCACGTTGCGCAGATGATGATTTACCATCTTTGAGCTCTGAATCAGGAATGGATACTGCATCTTCTGGGTAACTTTCATTTTCTTCTGGAGTTGTAGAGGGAGGAGAGGCCCCATCAATCTCTTCATTGATGGAAAGACGATCGTGACTTCGAGCACTAGCACCTTTCATTGCAACAACAGAAGGTATATTTTCACAAGAAACAGAGTTGCACTTTTGAATGGAGTTGGAGGACCCATTTGGGTGAGAAAATGTTTCTAAGGAGTTCCCTTGGCAGTTCATCTGGAAACTACCATCAGATGTAGCGGTTTCCTTTTTCAGAGAAACTGAAGCAGGATAACTAATTGGACCATCACCATCACAATCACAAGTTTCTTCAATCTTCAGTGAAACAATGGCAGAGTCAGCCAAGTGAGGTTGAGCATGCAGGGAAGACTTTGGGCATTGATCGAAACCAAGACCGTTGTCAGCTTTATCCATCTTCAAATGGTGTGGCAATGCATTAGAAGAAAAATTTTTTGAGGAATCATCCAAAATTCTTTCATAAGCTTGTTCGCCAATCCTGTTTGATGAACTTTTGCATGACTTGTTCAACAATGCCTCATCCGTAGGTAGTGATGAAATTTTATTTTTGGGATCTGAAATGCCTATGGCTGAAACCTTCTCATATTGTTGGTCCCATGCAACCCTTAAACCTTTGTTGGAATTGCATTTGCTGAACCCATCAATGTCTTCAAACTTCACAGTGACAGAAGTAGGCACTTTTCCAGCATCATGGACCATAGAACAAAGCTTTAAACCATTCTTCAAAGACTGGGTTTCCAAGCTATCCTCTTGACCAGAAACGGAACAATTCTCATCACAAACTCTAAGTGAGCTACAAGGGCCTACCAAAGATCTCGAGCCGGCGTCTGGCATTCTTTCATCTGAAATACCACTGCAGGGAAATACTGAAGGTGGGGAAATGATTTCTGAAGATCTAGCATGTCCCTTACAACTGGATTTCATGTTTTCATCAGAGTTCCCCTCCATGCAAGGAGTTTCACAAAAACCATTATCAAGTCTTTTATTTTTCACTGTCTTACTTTGTTCAGACACAGAATCCGATGGACTCATACCAGTGACTACAATGCTACCACCTTCAGATTTCAGATCTCTACAGACCACATTGGAGGCAGAAACAGTTCTATGTATCCTTACAGCTGCAGACTTGGAACACTCTAAAATACCTTCAGAGTTGGGGCTTAAACCATCCCCCAAGCTCTGAAGGCTATTATTCTGTTTTGAATGTGTACTTATGCGAGACTTCCTTGTTGAACCAGATTGTGCCTTCTGAAACATACAAGATAACTTGTCTTCCAACTTCGCATCCCAAGAGCGACTTGAACCCTCACCACAAAAACCTTCTTCATTTTGATCTTCTACCTGAGATCCCAGAGTCTCCAAAGAATCATGAACTACAGAATCACCCCTGGTTTTCTCTCTCTTGGCATCAACTTTTGTTTTCTTAGCCCTTTCTTTACATTTGTGTTCTACTACTCCTTTATTCATAGTCAAATCTAGTACATCACCACCTTCACTGCAACCTTTATCTGCATTATCCTCCAAAGGCCTCGCAGTCACAGATCCAATATCTTTCTTAGGGCCCTTTAGCCTCTTCCTAAAACTAGCCAGTGTATCATCCATGCCCCCAGAATCTTCATCCTCAGCCACCAATTTCTCTTCCCTAACTTGACTCTTGTCCAAAACCACCTTAACTTTTTTAGGGTTTCTAGGTCTCTTCAACTTGAATAGAGACCCAATTGGCTCATCATCATCAGAATGAATACTAATCTCAATCGGCTTGGATCTATCCTTAGCCCCAGACTTCTGTTCTCCTTCCATTTTCTTTGCCCTAGGTTTCAACGAACACTGAAACAAATCCTTCTGCAACCCTAACTTAGCCTGAGAAGTTTTACAGCTCGACAAATCATCACTTTCCATCTCTCTATCATCAAGAAATTAAAGCTCATGTTTCAAATAATGCCTCTTCTATCAACAATTTAAAGCCATATCCAGCAAAATTGTAGCTATAACGATCATCCCTTGCACCTATCCAGACCCAAATATACACAAACAAATGAAAAACAATACAACATGCCAAATAAATTCCCTCTCAATGACTAAACTCTAATGCAAGCATCATCAATAACTCTCCCCTACCATACCAACGGAACTTAACAAGGCAACTATGAAAATAAAGGGAAAAAAAAATAGAAGTCAAGGTTTCGAACAGAATACTATAAGATTGGAGATAGAGAAAAGGATAAAAGTTGGAAAGCAGACCTGTGTAATGAAGCTTTACTAGGTAGGGGATGGCGTTAATGGATTTATCGAGGGAGAGTGAGAAGCGCACGTTAGCTTCTTTGCTTCTGGAATCGGAAGGCCTGGGCCTTTATATTGTCGCGATATAGTAGTGAAAAAGTTTATGAGAAAACGAGAAAATGTAAAATAGAAAGACAAGTACTATATTGGACAAATTTATACAGGCGCGATTTATGTTTGAGGAAACCAGACTTTTGGAAATTGGTGCGGTCACGCAAGAATGCTAGCAGATGCGTATCCATTACTGCAGAGAATATTTATTTCCGGTAATTTTACATTTTTTTTAAAACTTAATGGGGAAAAGAAAAGGCAAAAAGCAGGTTATACACAATTTACTACTATAATTTAAAAATTATTCCCAATAAACAATTATTTGAAAATTCAATTTTTACTTTTATTTTTGGGCTTTAGATGGACCGCCTGAGGGGTTGGGTTGAGTTCTGAATGGTATTAACCGTTGATCAAAGTTTTGGGCCCAATCCTTTGCTAGTACTAGTAGGATGAAGATACAAATTGAGAAGGCAAAATGTCCTAAAATCGAGAGAATCCAATTTGAATACAACAGTTTTTTCAATAATTTGGTTGCCCTAATTTGAATCCCATCCGAATCTGAAATATATTATTGAATTCAACTAAATTTTACAAAAAAAAAAAAAATCGAAATTCTAAAAATAACCAAAAAATAAAACCAAAACATATTATTATATTCTTTTTATTATTAATAAAATCAAACCAAATTAAAATAATGAGAATATAACAAAACTCAAAACTAATTCAAACTAAATTATTAGAAAATGGTAAATTGAATTAGTTTAGTTTGGTTTGGTTTTCGGTTAACAGAACTATTTACTGGACCTAAATAGCATCACAAACCCATGCCAACAGCTCGCCGCCATTAGCCCAAAAGTAATGGAAAACACGGAATTGAGAACGGAATTCATTGAAGAATTTTGGACCGAGCCTATTTAAAGTTCCATTAGCCTCTCCAAGGATAAGTCTACTTAAAAGCCCACGATTGCATTTTGGATTGAAACATCGACACAAAGGATTTTCTTTATTGAAAATTTCAAAAAAAAAAAAAAAGGTCTGGAGCCTGAAGTATTTATTTTTTTAAAAAAAATCTTAAAAGGCCAACTGGCCTAACATCTTTAGGCGGATGCAAATTCGGCCCAATTTATAATCGGACGGAAGTATGGAGTCGGGGGTCCATGGTAGTTTTTTAGGCCGTGGGTTATTAGGTATGAATAATTTAGGCGATATTTGGATTAAAGATTTTAAAGTTTATGAAATTTGTAAAAATATGTTTAGACATTTAATACTTGTGGAACTTACGTCATAGGTTTCATAGATTTTTTTTAAAATAAATGTAGCTTTTAAGAATATCTCATCCATTAAAATATTTTTTTTGTATGAATATCTCATTCATTAAAATGCTAATCTTACATCATATGTGAGATTTAGTTATATCTGATATATGAACCCATATAGCAGGTGTAAATAAAATTTTATTGGAAATTTAAGAATACATTATTTTAAGCGATGTGGAAGAAATCAATGCAGCAGAAGAAAGAACTTATGGATAACGAAGAAAAAACAATTAAATGGAGCCCAATAATGGCGTTGTGATAGTGATTGAGTGAGCCATTAAGGTGACTGATTCTCTAAATTCTGATCTCAGTGGCCTAATCTTGGACGCTAAATAACAGCAGTCATAGAAGAAGCTTACGCAGCTATTGCTTTAAAGCCACAGCAATTATGTTATGCCTTGGTCAACCAAATCAAGGTTTAGCTAATAGCTACATCAAAAGGACATATATATATTTATTAAATAATTGAGTTGGAGAGACAAGATGATCATATAATTTAAATCAAATGTGCAAATTTGGGGTTTTGTATGTTTATATTTGTATATGATATATTTTTAGCCAATCATTTTTTTAATCTCTGTGAAAAATATTGTTATTAAAATGGAATTGATAGAGTATTATTTATATACAGAGACAAAGTTTATTTATTCCTTCCATGCAAAAAATACAGCAAGCACGTTTTAAAGCAATTGCTTCATACTCATATCGATCACTTCGTAATTATTTAAAATTTTATTTAAAATATAAGCATGCGAGAGTTTTAAAAATACTAGTAAAAATAAATGACTAAATTTTAATTTTTTTTTTTTTTGAATTTGATTTTATTGATAATTTTAAAATTTATATTTGAGAAGGCATTATTCTCACTAAATTCAAGTTAATTATCTATTTGTAATCATAGACCTGATAATTAATCAAAACCCCAAAGAAGTTATTTGATAAAAAGAAAAAAAAAAAAAGTGGGTTTATTATGACATAATTACAGTTTTGTCTGGTTGTTCCAATAGCAGCCAAAACTGCTTCTTCCTGGTTTTGTTAAACGAAAACATTTGCATGTGCTCTGTAATATGCACCTCAAAATTCTCTTTTATTTTCCAGTTGGGATTCAGAAAATCGTTTTTGTCCTGTTTGGCTTGGTTGGATGTGAAGAAAGTTGAACCAAATCCAAATTAAGGAATCTCTCTATCTAATTTTTTATATACTGTTTAAAGTCACCCATTTCTAATTTACCTAATACTTACTGTTAGACTTCAATATTAGGAAGCCAAGCCACCTTTGTTGCGTTTCAAAATTAAATTGCTTTAATGTATAAACGAAAGTTCAAAGTTTTATTAATTTGGTTATCTTTGAATATCTAAATTCTCAAAAAGAAAAATAAAAATGAAAAAGGACTTTGATTTTCATTTGTTTTAATGATCATTGGTTATAGTTTTGAATCATGGTTATTCAAAACTGCAAGTAATTATTTCTGGTTTTTGAAAGGGATTGTGACTGAATAATATGACATTTTAACAATATTACATTAATTCAACTAATACCAAATCCTTAGGATTTTTCCTTTATCAATTAAAATTCATTAGGTTAACATGAGAGAGTGGGAACTTATTAAGGGAATGTGTTTTGTTACACAAAATAATGTTTTTTTTTTTTTTTTTAAAGAAAGCAGTTTTCTTAAAAAAATGAAAACTAAAAAACAGAAAATGAAAAATGCGTTTACTGGTGCCAAGAAAACAATATTTATTTTTATTTAAATATTTATTTAACAACAAAAAAACACAAAATAACTTATTTAAATATTTTTATTTTTTCAATATTTATAGATACTATAATTTTTTATTAAGAATATCATTTTTTTTAAAATAGAAAACATAACTTTTATTGTAAGGAAAAGTGGAAAAAAATTAAAAATATTTTTCGAATCTTAGTCGATTATTAATTTGAAAAAATTGGATTATGATATAAGTTGGCTTGAAAATTGAGTTAAGACTTAACTCGCTTTCTAAAAACTAACTCATAGGGAGGAGATTGTTTGAGTTTATATTTTAAATAAACATCTTATCCAAAATCAATGTGGGGTAATACGAGAAAATAAAATCCATACATTCAACCTAGTATATATTGTTTTTATTAACTATTAAATTTAATATTAAAAAATAGTTTTAAAAAAACATAGTCCAAGACAAAAGTTGATTATTCTTTGGATGGAAATGTCACGACTCACGATTGACAACCTAGTCATTGTTTAAGAAGGGGCCAACTTACAGCCTGTTACTATAAGCACTAATCATAGAAGGAAATGCTGATTTAAGTCATTGTATGTAAAGTCATATTCTCAATGCGTTTTGTCAATTGTCGTTATATATATAAGCTTTAGACGGGCTCGGATACCACCAAACGACAACTCTTTCAGTTGATTAATTAAGTCGTTAAGAAACAAAGAAATTTATAGTTTAATAGATAACAATCCAATTAAGCAATTAAGTCACTCCATTGAAATGTGATTAAGTTTAGAAAAAGTATCCGTTAAATCAACTAACCCATTTAAGTCACGACATTGAAATTTCATGCATAATGAGAGTGATGTGATAAGAACAATCTGAGAATTTGAGTGAGAGGACAAAAGAAATTGTCACAGAAACAAATATGAGCTTAAATTAAAAATTATATATTATCTTCAATTTGTTAGTTTCTTTTTGAAAAGTTTATTACATTAGCACGTGCTGCATCTATATATATATATAGATAATTTGGAGAAGCTTGGAGGCTTTTCAACATATATAGTTTGGCTTCTAATTATTATTTCAAACGAGCATAAATTGATTTTCAAAAACGAATATGGTTTTTAATTTACAGGGAGAAAATATTGAATAAAAGTACTAAAAAAGAGAAATAAATAGAAAAGTGGAAATAAAATAAAGCTTAAAGCCCATGTATCTCCCTTCTTTTATGTGGAGCATAAATTAAAAGGAATGCATGGAATACCTTAACTGGTTAAAAGGCATCAACAAAGTTTTAAGAGACGAGTGTGTGTGTGTTTCTTTACAGTTTGTCATTAAGAAGAAGCAAGTTCATTAGTTGGCTGGCCACCGAAAGAGCTCGCATCAGCCTTTGATAAATTTCCACTGCCAATATTACACAAGGAATATTTTTCCCAGCCAAGTTACATATCATATAGATTCCTTCGAATACAAGTTTTGGTTCCATGTGCATGGCTGTGAAATTTCAGGATTTCTAACTTTTTGACTTGGATATTTATTTTCTCATAAATAGCAGTCGGGGAATTACGAGACATAGCATGCATGTCCCAGCTTGCTATATAAAACTCTGTTTTTTCTTACTCTCAGGTTCGATTATCGGTGAACTTCTACCCAAGTTCTCATGTCAGTCGGGCTCATGAAATTGGATCGTGACATTTACAATTCTCAACATGCATATAAACTTGAAAATCTCTACCTATTTATAGGAGAGGGATAGACTTAAATCTCGTAATCCACTAAATAAAAAAAAAAAAAATTCAATATGAGGTCTTGAAATAACACGATGACCTACACAATAGAAGTATTTATCTTATTTATTCACCAAATTGATGAAAACTCATTAGTAAAAAATCCAACCAGACCACATCGGATTTATAGAGAAATATAAAATTTTGATTTTATTTTTTTATTTTTCTCAACTGTGTAAATGATTAAATTAATTATTGACTATGTAAAAAGAATGACCCGTCAATATCAAAATTAAGAAATTTAACACGTCAATCCATGCACAATTATCCATCCATAAATAGAATTTTGTAGATCTATCTTGAAGTTCTTTAGAGTAGGTTTTCCTATTCAATTTTTAGGATATGGTTAAAGAATACTCATATGGTTGGGCTGGAAAAATGAAGAGATCATTCATTCTAAGTCCATTTTGGGTTCTTTCAGAAAAAAAAAAGTCCATATTTGTGTTTGGATTGTTTTCAAATTGAAAAATGCATTCTTCTTAATAAATCCTTGATGTTGATTGAGCTAGACAAATCCTTTTATTTTTGTCAAGCTAGCCCGCAGATAAGATATCATTGGTGAGCAAGTAACGATCCACCACCACGCAAATTTAAGGCAAGTAAACTTAATTACTGTACGTGAAGTTGTTGATTCCCATTATGCAAATTGAAGAAAAATGGGAAAATTTTCCAATACGACCCTAGCAAAAATTGGTACGATCATTGCATTCCTTCTTCTATATGTACATATTATTGTACTGGCTGCTTTTTCTTATTTTCCCCTTCCTTTTTCTTTAATTTTCTCTATTTTTTTTATATAATAATTAAACTTATGCGAAAGAGAGACCCAATTTGTTATTGGAATAGAATTGCTAATATTAATTATTAGATATAAAGTTTGATATAATACACATGCAAAGGAATCCAAATTCCAATATTATAAAATAATAATTTCAAAGAAAGAGTAAAATATTACAAGTAATTCCACAGAAAAGAACAAAGAAGTCTCAAACCTGCTGTCATTGTTCGAGGAATAATGGAATAATCCCCCTTGACCTGTCACGTAAATAACTATTAGATATTTAACCTAACAAGTAAATAAAATAATGCAAGAAACGTCCTCCAGGCTTCACCAACGAAAACGGGAGGAGATGATGAAATATAATTCTTTCGTTATAAGGATATTTCAGACCATTGAAAAACTCAAAGTGATAGACTTACCGTCGGGAGAAAGAGATATTGACAAAGTGAGAGAAAGTAGAGCACACAATATTGATAAGATGCGAGTATGGCTGTTTCTGCTAAAAGCACATTTCTTGCACGTGTTGCCAAGCTCTCAAATATAAAGAGAAATAAAAGAATGGGCCACACCCATGTTCAGCGCGTGGTCCCGAGTGCAACTGGTTCGATTGAGACAGGCGGATCGGGTTGGCGGTTAGGCTTTTGTAGTAACTTCGTATCTCGAGTTAGACTGATAACATAGGAATCATTTTTAGGTGATTAGCGACGTATAAGTCTGCTTCAGACAATAATTGATCTTGTCGCAAGGAACAGTCCAATGCTCAGCTCGGCCCTCTAGATGTAGATTGGTGTCAAATTGAACCAAGCATTAGTTTTGCTATCTAAACTTTCGTAATGGACCTATTTTCATTTCAGAAGTAATTTAATAATATACATATTTAATTTTTCGGCAATTTTTCGGCAATGCCACCTACTTGTTTACTATTTCCGCTTCACTTTAATAATAATATTTTATTTTTTTTTATAAAAATTAAAATAATTGAAATGCATAAATTTCCTAAAAAATATAAGTGATTCGCTTAAAATTTTTGTACAGGATTATAGTTATATTTTCCCTTTTTTATTTGTCTTATACTATAGTCCTGTTCCGCTATAAAAACATTTGATTTTTAAGCTTGTCATTTTATTTCTATTTAATATTCATTTTCATGATCAAAATTATTATTGTTACCAACAATATTAGCATATTCTGTAATTTTAATTGGTTTAGTTCTTGTAATAAAAAATAAATAAATTTTGATTAGTTTAAAAAATAGTTTAGTATGAGTCATTTAATTATAACAGAATTATATAAGTTGTTTAATAATTATTATTATAAGACATATGAAAAAATAAGCAAAAGTTATATTCTTTTTTTTCCTGTAAAAGTAAACTTCTTTCTATTTATTTTCTCTCATATTAAGAAATAAAGGTGTATTAGAGAATTGAATTATTTATAATAACGTGTATCAAATAAGGCAACATTAAATGAAAAACACATTTCATTTCTAAAAAAATTATAAAGTTATTCATTACTTTCATAATTAAAAATAAAATATTATAAAACATATATATTTGGCGACCTTTTTATTTTAAAACTTTTTATGTCTATTATTAATTTATTACAATAATATCGTTAATTTTGTATCATTTTGTGATTTAAAATAAACTTATCATTATAAATGCATTGTTTAGCAAAATTAATTACATATTAAAGTATAATATAAAATAAATTAAAAATTAGAATATTTAATTAAAAATTTTAAAACATTTTATGGTGATTTAATATTTTTTTTCCAAAAAAATCACCATTCTATAAAACTAATCTAATTTTCTATAAGTGAACAAGCCATAATTATTCGTTTGAAAAGGAAAGTAACCTAAAATTTGAAACAAATGAAGTGTAATTCTATTTTTATGGACAGAGGGGCAATTTAACAATATTAATTATATTTTCTAATATGTGTAAAACACAAATTATGGAAAAATTATGAGATATAGGGGATATTAACATCATTTTCTCCAATAATTCATAAATATTTAGAAACTACGTTAAAAAAAGACACTATAAATTAACTAAAGAAAAGTAAAGATTGTTTTTTATGTTTAATACATTCAAATTAATTAAGTCGCATAATTTAATTTTATACACCGTTAGACAATTTGCTTTAAAATAAAAGAGGAGATAATTTTTAACTGTCTTCTGGTGCGTAAGAAAATTTGAAAAAAGAAAATTTACATGTACCGATTCATAATTTCACTCATGAGCCAAATCAATGAGAATAAATTTTCTTATTGAAAGAAAGATATTTTTTATGATAAACTAGAAAAAAATAATAAAATTAAAATAATTTTAAAGAGTATTTAATATAATTGATTTGGTCCATAAGCGTGGTTAGGTACGCAAGTAATTTGTAGAAAATTTTCGTTGTATTCATGGCACCGACTCTTGACAACCAAGACGACGAAGAAGAAACGTAAAGGGTCGAATCGGTATAACCTTGTTTCTTCTCGCCCGTCAATCGTCATTAACCTGACTTAACTATGGTTTTCACACTGTCCAAATTACCAGAGTTTTGTCCCTCGTGATGGAAAAGCGTGTGGGAGTTTCAATCTAATTAACCCTCGTTCACTATTTAAGGAGCCGACAAACCGTCAGACAGACACTCCACCACTAACCCCGACCAAATCATATCATAGTCCATGAACAAAACCTTACAAACATCCTTCTACCAATGTCTCATAATTATTTCTCTCTTTCCTTTCTCTTCCTGTTCCTTCTCCTTGCTACTCAACCATGTCACCGGATACTAACAGAGGCTGCCGGTGGTGGCCGGTGGCAACTCTTGCAAAAAAGCATTGGCATAACAGCTATGCACATGCAGCTCCTCAACAATGACCGTGTCGTAATCTTTGATCGGACCGACTTTGGTATCTCAAATCTGTCATTACCGGAAGGGCAATGCCGGGATGATCCAAATGAACTGGTGATCAAAACTGACTGCACAGCCCACTCCGCGGAGTACGATGCTTTGACCAATAAATTTCGGCCTCTTAGGGTTCTAACAAACGTTTGGTGCTCTTCAGGTGCTGTCACGCCCGATGGCCGTCTGATCCAAACCGGTGGATTCAATGACGGTGAACGTCAGGTCAGGGTTTTCTCGCCATGCAGTAGTACTAACTGTGATTGGCAAGAAGTTGGAAATGGACTTAAAGCAAGAAGGTGGTACGCTACTAATCATATATTACCAGAAGGTAATCAAGTCATTATTGGAGGTAGAAGGCAATTTAGTTACGAATTTTATCCTAAAACTGGGGCTGCAGATTTGTATAGTTTGCCATTTCTTGTCCAAACTGATGATCGTAACATTGAGAATAACCTTTACCCATTTGTTTTTCTTAATGTTGACGGGAATTTGTTCATTTTTGCAAATAATCGAGCTATATTGTTTGATTATAAGCTTGGTAAGGTAGTCAAGACTTACCCAGAAATTCCTGGCGGTGATCCACGGAGCTATCCAAGCACAGGCTCTGCGGTTTTGCTTCCGTTGAAGAAGTTACAAGCAACGAATATTGAAGCTGAAGTTTTGGTTTGTGGAGGCGCACCAAAAGGTTCTTATGTTCAGGCTAAAAAAGGTAACTTTGTTAAAGCATTAGATACTTGCGGTCGGATCAAGATAACCGACCCGAATCCAAAATGGACTATGGAGAATATGCCCCATTCTAGAGTTATGGGTGACATGATATTACTTCCAAACGGCAACGTTTTGATCATAAACGGCGCCAGCGCTGGCACTGCTGGATGGGAATTTGGGCGGAATCCAGTCTTGAATCCGGTCTTATACAACCCGGATAAGGCAATCGGGTCAAGATTTGAGTCCCTAAATCCCACCACAATACCAAGAATGTACCATTCAACTGCAATTTTGCTCAGAGATGGACGGGTTCTTGTTGGTGGAAGCAATCCTCACATATATTACAACTTCACAGGAGTTCTATTCCCCACTGAATTAAGCTTAGAGGCATTTTATCCTCCATATCTGGATTCGCAAAATAATAATTTGAGGTTAACAATCGTGTCTCCAGCATCCAAAGCTAAGATTGGCTATGCACAAAAATTACTTGTACGTTTCAAGGTTGCTGGCAGGCTAGATACGAACACGGTATCGGTTACCATGATAGCACCTTCATTTACTACACATTCTTTCTCTATGAATCAGAGATTGTTGGTCCTTGAGAACGAGAAGGTTACAAATGTAGGAACAGCGACGTATAACGTTGAAGTTACGGCTCCGCGTTCCCCTAATATTGCACCGCCGGGATATTATCTGTTATATGTGGTTCATCAAGATATTCCCAGCGAGGGCATATGGGTCCAAATCGTTTGACAATATATTTGGGTGTTTCTGTTATAATACTACAGTTTTCCTGTACGCTTATTTGAAGCAAAGGTTTCTAGAAAATTACTAATGGTAATTGTAATTAGATAGGGTTAAGTATATATCCTCTGTGCCATCCAAGCATTAGTTGTGCTTATTCAGTTAATTTATTGAAATGATAATGAAATATTTATTTTATTATTATTATTATTATTATTATTTTCGGTTGTTTCTCAAAATAGAGTATCGTTGTTATTTGATTTTGTATAGCCAGTTCATCAATTGCCGCCATGCATTTGAATTTGATTAAAGGTGATGATTAGACGTCGTAAATTGGAGTAGAAGCTTTAATTAGATGACACGTCATGGAAGTAACCGTAAAGTGATTATCAATTTGCCCAAAAATAGATTATATATAGCACAGCTGGCAGGCGAAAATGGAAAGCTTTTCTCATTGGAACAGAAAGATTTGTACATCATCGATACACCGACAATGTACTAACCAGACCACAGTGTAAAGGTATCATCAGTAGCATACAAAACAGTAAGTTACAGAGCAAACAGCTTTTGATAGAAGCTTCTATAATGACATCAAATTGAAGCTGTATTACAGAAGTTACGTTTAAAGAACAGACATAAATGTCATTTTCCCATCAAAATAACCCACACAAAGTTACCAATATATACGTAGTCCATAAGAAACCTATGCAATTTTACGACAAATCTACTATGCAAAACACAGTAAGTTCTAAGGTGCCAAAACATGATCTCCAAAAAGCAGAGTCTGGTCCTGTTTATTGTAAATGTTTAAAAAAGCGTAAAATCAAGAAACGATAAAGCTTCCCTTGATTGATCAAAAGAGACAAGTGGGAAGCAAAGATTATCATATTTATAATTCTATAACCTACATAATCTACATTGGGATAGCCAGGTTAAGCACTGGAGGAAGGCCCATTGAATTAAAATGCCATTCATGTGAGTGCGAGTCAAGAGAAGGATAGAATTAATCTGACAGAGAATATAAAATTGTCAAAAAGGGGGCAACTCGCTTTTGCTGATGGCGTCACGGGTGGGTTGTTGGAACCTGATTTCAAAGTTCACGGGCTTGGCTGCTCCTACTACTGAAATGTAGACAAGGATGATTCCATTTTCACCTATCAAATTCATATAGTACAAACAATTTTTCTTCACGGGCTTAATCATTATCTCTAGTATTCTAAGAACCAAGTAATGTTCTCGATAGAGAAGGACCAGAGCCTCGTCAATAACAACTACCGAGAGTAGCCCCAATTCTCCAGACATGACTGAAGCAAAATTGGCAGGCTGGCGGACCTAAAATTTGGTGAAACTTACAGTAGCTATCTCGACGACAGACCAGCCCACAGTACCCAAAAAAAGCACAAAACGCTCTCTGATCTGATAGTCTCGGGCTTACTGATAAGATTGGATAAGCGTTTGGGCTTATATTCAGACAAGCACAACAAAACTGACAGGCCCAATCCACCGAATTACAAGCCCATACAATTAGAACACCAGATCGGAGGATAGTTGACCAGTCCACGTTCAACTCCATATCAACACGGTTTGCAAATCTCGAACAGAAACAGTGACACTCATTTCATTTAATAGTAACAAACGCGCAAAAGCTTAAAACCGTACAAAGAAAATATTCAACAACAGTCGAAGTTGCAGATACTAATTAGAAATTAATCAGATTGCAAAGATAGTATTGTGAAATCACATGAAATTCTACTGAATCATGTAAATACATAGATTTTAATAATTCCTTATATCAAATTATATAAAGCAAAGTGTCGAAAATACAAGAACCAAAATCCTTAATAGAAGGATATACAAATATAACAAAAGGTATTATCCCTATCTATGCACGTTCACCACGGATCCGTCGAGCCAACTGGATGTCTTTAGGCATTATTGTTACCCGCTTGGCGTGAATGGCGCAGAGATTGGTATCTTCAAAAAGACCCACCAAATAAGCCTCCGCAGCCTCCTGGAGCGCAAGCACCGCATGACTCTGAAACCTCAAATCCGTCTGCCAAAAAACAATACACGAGATAAATAAATCTCGGCAATAGAGTCTTTCAAAATTAACGTGCAAATTTAAAAAGAGCTAATTAGATTTTATACCTTAAAATCTTGAGCGATTTCACGAACAAGGCGCTGGAAGGGCAATTTGCGTATCAAAAGCTCGGTACTCTTTTGATACTTTCTGATTTCACTGTTGATTTAATAAACAAAAGGAAAATGGGTTAGGATTAGAACTAGAGAAACCAATTGGAAGGTATAGGAGTTCAAATTAGGGAAAACATTGTATACCGAAGAGCCACAGTTCCAGGACGGTATCGATGGGGCTTCTTAACTCCACCAGTAGTTGGAGCGGATTTTCTAGCAGCCTATAAATGCAATTGAATAACAAATAGATTAGAATAATTAAAACAATTCAATTGATTCATGGGAAAGAAAACAGAATCCTGAAACCCTAGAATTACAAGTAAAATAAGCCAACGATTGCAAACGATCGAATTGAACTCAACAAATTCAAAGAACATGAAACCTAAACTAATTCTATTTTCCCTCAAATCAGACATAACGAAACGACCTAGAGAGCGTAACGAAACAAACCTTGGTTGCAAGCTGCTTCCTCGGAGCCTTTCCACCGGTTGATTTGCGAGCAGTTTGCTTCGTACGAGCCATTTCTCCGGATATGTACGAAACAGAGTTCTTCAAAAAGGGAAAACTTAAAAGATCTGCAGAGAAAACCAAATTCTGTACTTGCTAGAGACGGCTTAAAAACAAGAATATGTTGAATGAGAAAAAGATGCGGTACTTATATAGAGAGAGGGACAAGAGAAGGAGAGGGGTTAGGTCGGTTAAAGTAGAAGATCATGGAAGGAACGTGGACCGGAAGTCTGGAAGTCTTCAACGGTTTTGTGCGGAGTTCAGGATTTTGAAATGGCCTTTGATCCCGGTGATTGTCACTCATTGGTTGCTGTAGTTCCTAGAGGATTGCCAGCGTGGACTAGTGGTTTACGTCATTTTCCTATTATGTTTATTTTTTAAATCAAATCCTATTTAAAAATATATACTTAGGAATTTATACACCTATTAAATTGCAGCAAAAAGTTCAAGCACTGAATTAAAAATTCAGCTCGCTACAAGCAACCAATAATTCGATGGTTGTAATCAAAATCCTGTCGCACATAATCTAAAAAACATAAAGCAGAAAAATCATTAAACATGATGAACCCTTTTTATATATGACACTTTAAAAAATAATTGCTATCAGAAAATTATTATCTCTAACACGTATACTAGAAATTATTAATTATGATCTCTCTCTTTTTTTTAATACCCAATTGTTTTATCAAAAAAATGCAAAACTAAATCTAAAAAGAATGTAGATAAACTTTGTCTCAAAAAGAATCTAAACGAATTCATATCCAAGGACATTCACAATAAATAATAACATATAAAATTTAGAATGTTTTAAATACGAAAAACTAAAATTAGGATGAAGAAAAATGAATTTCTAAATGTCAACGAGTGTGAAATTGATTATTTACGTTAATGCTCCGTTTGGTACAAATGAAGTCAAAGTGTAAATTGATTTATAAATAAATTTTATATAAAATTCATTTGTAAACGAATTTTTTTATGTTTAGAATAAATTTAAAAATTAAAAATTTATTTACTTTTTGTAATACCCCGAATTTTTATTTTCGAAACTTTTGAATTTTTTTTTAAATCAAAAATCTCGATTTTCAACTATATGGGCTATATATAAATTTCATTCTACTTTTTGTAACCCCAATTTTTATTTTTCGAACTTTTTTTGAAATTTTTTTTAACATCAAAAATCTCGATTTTCAAAACTATATGGCTATATATATACCAAAACAAATCTCAACAATTCGAGCCAAGTTTGTGGGTTCGGGCTTTAAGCCAAAGTATATCACCGGCGAATTTGTCGATTTTGAAACAGTTTGAAAAGTGTTCGGAGAAAATAATATGAAATGCCACAATTTAGTCTATTATGAATATAATAAATATCATTCTACAAAACAAATTATCATTACTATTACTATTATTTTTATTATTATTTTTTATTTTATATTCTTTTGGAATAACATGGAGGAGAGAAAATGTTACGGAACCTAACTAAAATAATCAAAATAAATCGAACCGGGCCCAGAAATCAAATTGATTTTTCGAAAACCACACGAATAATCTGATAATCTAAAAACCATGTGAAAAACATGCAAACCGAGAAAAAATCGAGCCGAATCGTTGAATCAGACCAACCGGTTCGAATCGAACCGGAATGATCTAGAAACCGACCTACTTTCTTTCTTTTCTCTTCTTCCTCTTCTTCTTCTTCTTCCTTTCCACTCCAGCGTTGACCTCACCTTGCCCTCTCCTCTCGTTTTTCGATCACCGGAGACCAGCACCACTGCAGATGCGTCAAGCCTTCCTCTCCTCTCCGGCGAGCACAGCGATGCAGAGGTCGCACTCTGCTCCACTGCCAGATCAACGTCCTCCTGCTCGCATTTTCGACACGACGTCACCGTTTTTTTCGGCGTCCCGTTAGCAAGGTGAGTTTGAATCCAAAGAGAACTATAATTTGTTGCAGCAAACATAGCTTTAACTCATTTCAGGTAGGTGATAGATGGCCATTGGAAAATAAGTTTATACTTGATTGGCGAAAATTTGACGTTGAAAAAAATTTTACCGATTAGCGATTAAACTGCCATATTTTTTGCAGATATTGATTCTCAATTGAAACTTATAGGAGATTCTTCAATTTCGAAAATTATTGTTTATGATCTTCAGGTCCTGCTAGCCGTTCGCCACCCATTTGGCCAGCGGGGCGACGGTGGAAGGTTTTCGGTGACCGGAAAAGTGCAAAATAGGCAGAATCCTGCCACTCAACCCCATTAGAATTACGGGACTATACTATTAGATTTGCATCGGAACATTGTTTGACTCAAATTATTATAATTAGCCTAGAAAGTATAAGACTGTTTAGGAAAAATTAGTTTGTAATGTTAATCAAGGATATTAGCTAAATAATTACCGAATTATACACCTAAGAAATGAATTTAGTTATTACCAAAAGAATGTTTTAAGATGGAATCTAATCTCCTTGTGGATCTTTAGTTATTAGCTTCAATATATATAGTTAATAGGAATCTTTAAGTAATCGAAGTTGAAGTAGTTAATTGCATTTATTTATTAGAAAATGGCTTAAGTCAATTTTGTTGGAGTCGATGTGAATTTTGAATTGTGATATGTCTTGTCTTGTTTTTGAATTTTATAGCTTTATATGGATTTAATTGTTTTTCTTAAACATTGGGAAAATTGACATGAATTGGCGGATAAGAGGAGTTTAATTTATAGTTGAAATAGGCCTAGTTAAAATATTGTGATTTCTTGTTAGGGAACCTTGATAGTAATATATTTAATTTTGAACTTATATAAATGCGAAACATTCAGAATGATTTATGAATCCCAAACGCAAAAGATAAATGGAAAATATCGAAAATAGTAGGTTTAAGGGTCTTGCTAGGGAATAGTTAATCGTATATTTTAAAGTGGTTAAGTAAAGGCTCTAGGTAGAGTTTTTTCTTTTAGATTTTAATTTAATAGAAGCATTCGTCTTATTGGTTATATAAGTTTAACAAAAGTATAAATAATTGGTTATTATATCTTTAAGCTAATGACATGAAGAAAGTTAGATCGGTGACTAAAAGAGTACTATAATAGTAGACACTACGAACTATCAAATGAAAGTTAATTGATAATTAACTTATGATATAAGTTTTTCTATTCTCGAACTATATATGTAATTAAAGCTTTCACTTGTTTGGTAATTAGCTATAGAAGCTAATTATAATTATATGAAGTAAATAATGATCCGTCATTATCATTGGAAAACCATTATGTTGTAAATTAATGTATTTAGAGTGTTTGACATTGTTGTTTTTTAGAAGGAGGATGTTCTAAATTGGAATTTGATTGGCCCGACGGATGGGCTGTGTGTATTGATGATAAATAATGTCGATGTTCATTGTATATTTAAACAGGTAGATAAAAAACAGGTAGATAATCCTACTTTTAGGGGAGATGCTGTTGAAATTTCGATAGAACCTAGACTAGTTTTAATTCATAACATAATGAATAAGTTTATTTAGACTAATTCTACAACTTAATGCATAATAACTAGAGTGCTCTAATTATTTATTTATTATCTTTATTATTCATTTAATTATTTAATTATTTAACTGCATTACGATGTTCAACTGATAGATATGTCTGCACTTGATTGAATTGTTTGATTATTTGTGCTGTGAATATGTTGTGCTTTGTTTGTGTGGAATTGGGATGAAGTGGACCACCATGGGTTTTGATAAATAGTCTGCCTTATTGAATTGTATTGATTATTTGTGCTGGTGATATTGTTGTGCTTTGTTGTGTGGAATTGGATTGAAGTGGTCCGACCCACCATGGCAGTGTGAGGCTCTGCTGCATACGGATGCCGGTTATGACATTGATAACTTGACCGTCGGCCGGAAAAATGTGAGATCGGCGCCCCCTTGTTGCAACCTGGATTCATATTTAGTTATATGGAAAACACAGGATGGCTTCTGTGTTGTTTGCCGCACCCTGACAAATCTAGATTTGATTGTAGTTCGAGTGGTGGCCTCCTGATTTTGTAGCACTTGACGATCTTAGATTGGAATGGAGACACGAGTTTCTCCTGTTGATATGGAAAAGAAAAGAGAGAATGGAAAAACAAGAGAGACTGGTCAGTGAGTTTAGACCCAGTTGGCCGTATGGGGGGATCGGCTCCCTGGTGATGTTACGATGGAGGGCGAGCCATGTGTGAGGACGGCGCTCGTGGGTTTCAGGTGGTGCCACTTGCACTAATTTCCACAGCATGAATGTTTGGAAGATTAATTGAAGGGTGATATTGTTTGTGATGCTGATTGATATGCCATTTGTTTGTGACTTGGCTGCCACATGTGAACATATAACTATCGAATGACTAGATGATATATGTTTAAACATTTGGTGGAATGCGTGTGTTTGTTGCAAATAAGTTTCTTCTTAGAAGGCTCACAATCTTGGTAAATTTCTTCAGAAGTAAGCTTCGTTTTAAATGGTTAAGATGTGTTCTTTGCCGCAGGGCTAGAAGAAATCTTTTTTTTCCAGTTTTCATAAATTAATCTTAACTATGTTAATTAATGTATAAAAAGCTATGTTATACCAAGTTAGTCAGGTGACTCCGCAGTTGTAGAAATTGTACAATTAGTCGTGGTCATTAATATAGACGATATAATATGTGAGCCCATATTAAAAAAAAAAAAAAAAAAAAATGTGATGTATTTTAATTGGGCCCAACTATGAATGTTGTGCCGAATAAAATTTGGGCCGAGATTTAATTAGAAGCTTGAGGGTTTATTTCCTATAGTAAGGCCTGAATCGTTTAAAATTACTACAATGAAATAGTAAATTTTTAGTGTTTAGCTTACTACGGGCCTCGGGGCCTTAAGCTTACCTGCCCTAGTGCCGGTCCGGCCCATTGGTATCGGGTCGTGACAAAAGTTATATCAGAGCGAGGTTAGAAGGTTAGAAATTTTAGGACACAACTGCGGAGCATAGGAAATTTCTTTATGTTGGGATCGGCCGTAACCAACATAAGGAAGGAAACCTTGTGATTTTCCTCCCTAGGGATGGTGGACGCACTAGACCCTATGAGGTGGGAGAATATCACACTTATTATGTAGATTAATAGACTATAGAGGTTCGAAGTGAAATTTGGGAACAATAAGATAGGTCTATCACAATACTTACAGGGGCCTGAGCTTATATCAATCTTTAGGTTACGGAATAGAGTAATATCTGGATGGTAGT